CCCGACCCGCCTCGCTCGGCCCGTCCGCTGCGGCTCACCTCTCCGTGGGCGTCCCGGAGGGTCTCAGCGGTCAGTTCCCCCGCACCCCCACCTTCCATCCCCGCCGGGCTGCCCCAGCTCCGGTCTCCCCCGCCGGGGCTCGGCCTCGCTTCCCCACTTCGGTGCCAAACCCGCGCGGGGGGGCCCTGCTGGGCCGGGGCTCCGCCGCGCCGGGAGTGGGGCGGTTTGCCTCGTCCCGGGGAGCAGGGGAACGGGAGCAGGGAGGGACCGGCTCCCGCGAAGCCTTTGCAGGCGGGTGAGGAGGTTGAAGGGAGCCTGCGGGCTGCCCTTGCCTACAGGCTGGCCGGGAGGTGGATCCCCCACGGGAGTGCTGTGTTAAAACGAGGTGTGCTTGATAGGTGCTCCACGGGAGGCCAGAAAATTGAAGGACTGTCGTCCCTCATTTAGAACACTGCATGTGTCCCTTCTGCCGCAGAGAGTGCCTCAGTGCATCACTGCTGTGGAGAACATGGCAGTAGTCTTTCCTTTTGTAACCTACGGTGACATGCAAAGAAGCTCCCACCAGAATTCTGGCTTTAGCAGTGAGCCAGAGCCTGTCAGCTAGGTACTACTAACCCCTTCAAAGATGTTTCTCATTAGATGCACTTTAGGGGCTCTTTGGGTGGTGTCTTCTGCTTGGACAGAAGTTCTGAACCTTCCAGAAAATATTTTAGACAGAGAAGGGAATTACCTTGCTCGTCCATGCCTTCTTTGCTACAGATTCCTCTGCTTTGGATCAGTACTCGTGTCTGTTCATTCATATGATCGGTTAGAAGACTGACTCATCAAGAGAAATAAATAGGGTTTTTTGCACTAAGCAGTCAGCACTCTCATCCAGTTCCTTGTGTGATCACCAGCTCGACAGAGCTGCTGCAGAGGAGCTGGGAGGAAGGAGGAGCAGGGCTGCCCCTTTCTGTAGCAGCCTGTTGGCTGCTTGGTGTGTTACAGGAATGTGCAGTGATGGGTCCTGCTCAGTAAAACCCACCTCCTCCCCAGGGAGGGACAGGTTTGTACGCGAGTCTCAGGGGTAATTTCTTCTATTGTGGAAAGGAAGGCTGGCACACCTGGTTTATTGGCCCATTAAGTCATAAGGCAGCATAATTCTGCAGGGGTTTGGTTAAGATGTACCAAGTGTCCTGCCTTTGAGGAGGAATTTGGGTTTCATACCTCGGTACGAGGATTGGGTGGTACAGGAATAGCCAGTTGAGTACAGACCAGAACAGAGGTCCTCTCCCAGCTGACCACCCCAGCTTCTGTGGCCAGCTCATTCACTCTTGTTTCATCTCTCTTTCCAGTATATTTTGAGTTAACTGCCATGACATAACCCTTAAACAAGGTGCAGAAAATGCACCTGTGTTTGCCCCAACTGTAGCTCAGCAGTTAAGTTTTCCAGGAGATAAAGAAAGTGAGTTGGTTTCCTGGAGTAAATGCCGTTACACTTTTACATTGCAGCATCCTTCTCTGTCTGTGTTTTAAAGCAACTGCACACACGTTTGAAGTTGTTGTAGGTCCATTTGCGTTAATGGAGTTTCAGGGCTCTGGTGGTGCCTCTCTGCTAGCCTAAAGCAGGAGGTGACAGTAGTGGAAGTCCAGGTCCCTCCTGTCTGACTGTCTCAATAGATTCAGGGTAATTATGTGTACTTTACTAGTACTAGTCCCCATTTTGGGCTGACCACACTTGAGAAATGTCATTCTAAAACTTTTTTTTTAACCCTGTGTGCTTGAAGAAGCCTTTGGATGAAGGTACCATACAGGTGCATTGTGCCTTGTCTGGTTGTAGGTGCAGGAACAATTGTCTGCTGCACTGCTGCTGACAGCAAAACCGATCAAAAAAAGTTGGTCAAAGCAGTGTGGTTTCTTTTTATTAAACCACTAATAAATGACAACATGCAGTCTTCTCTGATGTGAACCTGCCTGACAAACAGCAATTCAGATGCCCAGCTTTTGTTTTTTGAGGGTGTTCTGGGAACCTGTAAAATACAAATACCACTTTCACTGTTGGGCAAAATGAGACATGGATGAGCAGCGACTGGAGCAAACTTTGGCTGTTGCTTTGGGTTTATGTTGGTTTTCCACTGTGTGATTTCATTCTTTTGTTGGGGCAGCGCTATTCCAGGAGGGGTAGACAGCAGCCCACGCTTCGAAGAGTAATGGAAAACGTGCTGTTAAGAGTTGGAGCATACCTATTCGTTTTTCAATCTATTATATTTCCATTCAGAGCATCAGTGGAGAAGCGATAGCCAAAGTGTTGCATGTTTTTTGAGCGGTGTATTCTGCTGCCTTTGGAGACTGTGGAGGACTGCATTTAGTCAAAGTGTTGCTTATTTTCCTCTGTTATCTGTCTGCACTGATGCTCTGAACTGAAATAAAATAGATTGAAAAACAAATTGGTGTGCCCTGGCTCCTTGTACTGGATTTTACATTATCTTCTGGGAGAGTTGCTTGCTCTGGCTCTTTGGAGCACCCCAGAGAAAGGTATGACCCCTCAGCCTCTTTCAACACTTCAGAGACTGAATTACTTTTGGTGGGAGAGGTAAGAAAATTGAATTGCAGTACATGATTTTCTGGCTTTGCAATAACCCTCTTTGTAAGGTCATTATCTTAGTAACAAGAAAACAGGAAACTAGTAAACACGCACAAAAAGTATTCAGATTCTGATTTAGGGCTGTCACTGTCCTTAACTCCTCAGAGCTAAAAACAGAAAGTTGCCCATCGCTTGGAGGCTGTTATTGCACCCTAGGGACTGCAGGTCCAAGGAACAGGAGAGAACGAATCTCGGCTTTCTGTCCGGCTGCATTTACTGATGTACATGGGTCTTGTGAAATGAGCCTTTGAGTAAGTGCAGAACGGGCAGTGGTGGGGTGAGCTCCTCTCACAAGGGCTGGGACCTGCGCTAACTGCAATGAGCACTTTGGACTGCAGCTCCTTTGAGCAGAAAGCTGCGAGTGCAGGGAACAGGAAGGTTGTTGGGCTGCTCCTCTGAGACCCTCCAGTCAGCTCGAACAGAAGTAGCATTTACTTAAGACAGAGAAGTTGGATTCTTCCATTTTGCTTAGCGCTTTCTGTCCACGTTAGTTCTTTATGCCTGCTTTATTTTAGCTTTTTAGAGCTTGCGTAGGAACTGCTTTCTTCTACTTTTGCACCCCGTGTGCAGGTTGCTTTTAGTTATTTTTATTACCGGTCTGTGCACTGCATTGCACTGCGCGGTGCTGTCAGCAGAGGGAGCACAAGGCTGTGGGTTTGTGCTTTTAAAAAGCAGTGTGATGGTATTGTTTAATTTCTTGGCAGGGTAGCAATAGTTGTTGGGGTTTTTAAAATTTGTTTTTGAAAAATAAAAACCGCCTGCTCCATGTGCATCCCAAAGAAGAATTTCAGGCATGGAACACATCTTCAAGCTGGCTACTAATCAATGCAGGATGTAGCTTTTGGTGTTATTTTATTAATGCCCAGCAGGTGTGTTGAACAACACCTTGTAAAAGCCCTTAATTATGACAGTGAGAGTTAGAATCCTTTTGCTAAGGCCGTGGTGGCATTAAAATTCGCTCTGTGCTTTGTGATGGACTTTCTGATGATGTGAGGTACTGCGGCAGCCTCGTAACTGTAAGGGAGGGATGGTGTCACCTGGGCATCTTTGGAGCACCTATCTCTGTAGGCTCTAACTGCTGAAGTGCTCAGTGCTAAATTACAGTTGTCTTTTGATGAACTTAGTGATGTGGATGACTTCTGAATCCGTTGAATCTGGATTGATGTAACTGTATGAATGATGAAGAGAAGTAATTTAATTTGGAAACTCTTATTCAGTCATGTAGGTAGAACTGGGTATTCCTGTTTCCTCGTCCTCTGTGAAGAATCATTGTTGCTATCAACATATCCTTTTCCTATTCTAATGTAGCTTAAAGAAAAAAGACATGATCCCCTTGAACTGTGGAGGTGTACAGGATAGAAGTACCTGGGGAAAGGAGGAAAGAGCTGTAACTGGATGGTGGAGGGTAATGTTTGGTGCAGACCTGTTCTGGATCTCCTGTACTTGGGAGGTTCAGAAGAAGGGGCTTCTTTGCTGAAGTGGGTGACCTGAGAGCAGTCCCAGATGATAATGGCTGCTTAGGGAGGACATTTATCAACATGTGGTTGAGCAGAGCCTTAGGAATATTAGACACTTTTGAAAATGTGACTCAATTTGATTGACTTTGCGGTCTCACTGGAAGTCAGTGGAATGAAAACTCCTAAGACACCTTAGTGTTCTCCCTGAGAAGCTGGCAGGACAAGGCTTAAGGTGTCCTTTGGTGTGTCTCAAAAGATATATTCTTCTTTTGCAAAGCCCATCTGGAAGGTAGCTAAACTGAGCAAATACCTCTGTCTTCTCTCTCCCCCCTTCTGACTCCAGTGAGATGGTATTTTGTCATAGTGCAGTGCTATTGTTTCTCAGATGTCAGAGACCCCAGAAGCAGCCCACTTACCTTAAGTTTGAAATTCATAAAAAACCCCAGTGATCCTGGCTCCAAAGAGGATGTGGAGAAGCAGCTTTAAGCTGAAAAAGTAAGTGTTTTTTTCTCACCAGTGGTGCTCTCAGAGGCAGATGGCTTGTGCTCTGTAAGCACTCATTGCTGCTGAAGTATTAGTTACCTGCTCGCAGAGAGATTGTCAGTTCAGCTCAGTCCTCCAGCCAAATCTCCCAAAATCCGTCTTGAAGATGCCTGGGAAATGAAGCCAGACAAATTCTGGTAAGAAACAAGACCTGTAATTTAACAGTTAGAATAACTATGGTGGTGGAGGCTCCTCCTCCTAAAAAGCAGTTCTTATCGTGACTGGGAACCTTGCTGGAGGAGAAGTTTTAGCCAAACCCAAGTTACTGAGTCCGGAAATCTAGGAGGCAGTGACGGATGAGAAATCAGATTGCTGGTGGTGATTCCTTCTGCCCATAAGATTTGAATAAAACCCTGAAGCATGTTCAAAGTAGGGAGCACTTGACTTGAGGATCGTCTTGGCCATCACCCCTCATTAAAAAATGTCTGTTCTCTTTGGCAGTATTGAATCTTTGGGTCCCCATAATTAAAGAAGTAAAATGTATTGAAACAAATGTGGGTGATCTAATTGCTCAGGACACATTTTCCAGTGCTCTGAGTTGCTGTAATAAAAGGGTCATGCTGCTAGGCTGCTTAGAGCTTTACTGTTTTGAGCTGTCATGGGCAAATATGTCTTCTATATTCTTGCCAGGAATAGAGGGAGCAGACGGTGCTGCTGCTTCTTCCAGCTTGCCATGATAGAAGCAATAGGTTTTCTGCAGAAGGCTATTCATGGCAAAGTGAGCAGACATCTCTTCCAGGACATCAATGCTTCTTCCTTCTTGCCCTTTTGTAGGAAGAGCCACAGCTATTATTATTTAACCACCAGACCCAATTTAATCTCAGATACTCGAAGTCCTTCAGCTCCAGGGAAGGAGTGGGTGGACTGAAACTGCTATTACATTGAGCCTGGCAAAAGAAACGTGTCTCTTCTCCCACGACCAGCAGCAACTCCACTGATGGCAGCTTGATTGCTTGTGGTTTACAACAGCGTGGGAGAATAACAGAGCCTGGGTGTTTAATAGGGTGGAAGTGCAGGTGGCCAACCCTGTGCACAGGCGAGGGGGTAGATCTGGTACTTGTGCAGAGGTGACCTGCAGACCAGCCAGCCTTTGGTAGCGATGTGCCCAGAGAAGCTCTCGTTCCTGGGAGGCTGGAGGGCAGGGTATCAGCAGCTTGTACTGCGTCTGGCTTCGCTTTGCTTATATTAAAACTGCTTTTATTTTACCCACAAGGGCTGGTTTGGTTTTTTTTTCCTGCCTTATTTTCTTTGCCCTGTTGAGAGAAAAGGGGGAAAGGGAGGGAAGTGATAGTGACTTGGTAGGTACCTGGCATTTAGCAAAGGTCAAACTTTCACACAGCTACTTAGGTTTCCTTGCCCTCCAGAAAAAGACTCACCTACCCCGTGCTTTTGCTTCAAAGATATTCAGATGGGGAGCATGACACCTCTGCTTTGAGGTGATATCAGAACCATCTGTGATCTTATCCTGATGGTTGAAAAGCAAGTTACATAGTACTTCATCTTTAAAGAATGGGAGAGCTCTTGGCTGAGCAGGAGAGCTCTCCTGCATAGGTGGTATCCACCAACCAGTTGCTCAGCCGTCTGTAGCTTCAGTATGAAGTGGTGTCTCTTGGCTCCCTCCTGTCTTCCCACAGCCACCGCAGGCAGTGCCATGCAGAGGGACAGCTGGAGTCCTGCCTGCCTGTGGGCAGGAGGTCCTGCTTCCCACAAAGTCTGAACTGCAGAGGGGTTGGCGCCTTGTGGGCGCGAGGCGAGATGCCAGCTCAACCTGCACCCAGCGTCTGCTTGCAACTCGCAATTTGGTGTAAGCTGGGAGTTGCTCCGAGCCTGCTTGCGTGTGAGGCAGTGCCTCAAGTTGGTGTATGAGCATTGGCTCATTAAAGCTTGTGCCCTGACAGGCAATATTACTCCTGTTCTCTATAGGAGAGTAGGAAGCTGAGTGTGAAGATGTTAAGCAGTTGAAGGTCATGTAAATCGTGTCCATCCAGGTGCTCTTCCCCTAGCGCTCATGCTGTTTTGTTTCAGCATCATTGCCAGGACCAGTGTTAGGCATCCTAGTGTGTAGACAAGGCAGTAACATCTTTATCTTGTCTAGCTTACATAAAAACTCCAGATATCCCGCTGATACAAATTCAGTTGGCAGATGTCCTATCTATTCTCACTTCTGAAGTGGGGTGGGGAGAAAAGTAAAAGTGAGGCTCTGGTAGATGGGATTAGGGCTGTGGACTTCAGCAAGAAATTACAGTTTGGGGGAAAAGACTTGTAAATTGATGTGTTAGGACCGTGGTGTGCTGAGAAGGGTGATGCCGAAGGCCCCGGGCTGCAAGCATCTCTCTATCTAACACTCCTGTGCCTCTGCTGACCTTAGCAGTGATGTGGGGAGAAAATGAACTGGTCCCAAACCACTTAGTGCTTTGCAGGTCAAAACCAGCAGCTCAGATTCTCCTCTGTGTTTGGTAGGTGTTCTGAAGAGGTCTTCCTGCAGTGCTTCCACACCTGCCCTTTCAGAATCCAGCTTCTGAATTCAGTCTCAGCTCCGGCTTCTGGAGGCAGGGAGAGCCTGGCACTGCAGTGCCTGATCTCAAGAGCATTCACACCTCCTTGAGCTCTGTGGCAGGAGGCACATCAGGGAGTCGTTTCACTCTTCTTGTAGCTCCTGGGACTCAGCACTCATTCCTCAGCTCTTTCTGAAGTACTTGGAACAATATCTAGACTCTCAAGCTCCTCTAGGGTAAGTTGCTGAATTTGGGGAGTGTGAGTTTAGAATGGGGCCTCTTGCTGTAACCATGAACTGTGGCATAGTAAACTACTAGGAGGTGTAAACTGAAAAGAAATTTTTGCTTACTCTTTCTTTCTGTCTGGCTACTATCTGAGCAAAGTGCTAACTGGATCCTTTATTTTTTTTCACTAGCTGGACTTTGTGAAAGTGGTGTGGAGACCATGTCAAGAGGAGGCTAGTAGACCCTGGTGCCATGGAGCTTCCCAGTTACAGCAAGCAGCTGCTGCAGCAGCTGTACGCTCTCTGCAAAGAGGAACAGTTCTGTGATTGCACCATCTTCATTGGGAATGTTCATTTTAGAGCACACAAGGTGGTTTTGGCTGCTGCCAGCCTGCTTTTTAAATCCCTGTTGGACAGCACAGACACCATCTCCATCGATGCTTCTGTGGTGACCCCCGAGGAGTTTGCGCTCTTGCTGGAGATGATATACAGTGGCAAACTCCCACTGGGGAAACACAATTTCACCAAAGCTATCTCCGTGGCAGATAGTCTTCAGATGTTTGATGTGGCTGTTAGTTGCAAAAACCTCCTCAGGGACCTCATCAGCTGTTCTACTCAGGGCCAGGTAGTAAGAGAAGTCTCCAGCCAGGCAGCAGACTCATCTGGAAACCGTGCTGAAGCTAATAACCTGCCCCAGTCTGAAAAACCTGGTGAAGGAGAAACAGATGATATCCTCCCTCGGAGAGTTTCCCCTTTTCCTGGTGCTGTAGAAGCAGAAGTAGAAGCAGGTGTTTCTCCTCCTGGCCACGGATTTACTGTGAATCACACCTGGGTTCAGCAGGACACGATGTCAAGCGACTCCAGATCCCTCCAGGAGGATTCAGGCTCCCGTCCTGACCAGCCTTCCCATGACGAGCAGGGTGGCTGTGTGGAAGAGGAGCTTGCTGAGTCTCCAGAGGAGAAAGGAGTCAAGGATTTAGGTGAGACTTCACAGGTCTGGGCACAGCATTGCCTCTTATTTGCAACCACGTTGACTCATGTTTTCCTGTTATGGGGGATCTTTTCCTTTTGTGTTTGTTCTTTTTAGTTTGCTCTGGGTTGGCAGCAGCACCAACACATACAGTTTTTCTGCAGGGACTTCCTTTCTGTGGCACCTTGCAATACTCTCCTTTGGCCTTTGCAGTTGCTTTACGCTCACCACTTTACCAGAGCTGTAGTGAGCAAAACTTTTCTTACCCGTGTACCTGATTGCATCTGACGTACAGTGGGATCTGCATTAGTGCAGGACATGAGGTTGATAAGGCAATCTTTATCACAGTAAGTGAACAGAGTTGTCTGCTAATGCTACCTTATCCTTTAAACTCCTGTTCAGCATGGAGGGAAAACAGAGGCTGTACTGGGTTTAAAATAAATGTTCCATTTATAACTGGTGTTAAATAAACTGTTGGTTTTCCCTCCAGGCTGTGCGATATCTTTAGAAGGGATTTGAGAGTCACAGTTTCCCTATTATAGCCAATGTGCTGGTTACAAACTGATGCCTTTCAATCACATCATGCTTTCTGTGAATCCCTTCAATTAGCAAATAACTCATCTTGTTTCTTACACAGAAGCAGAGAGCAAAAGCTGTAAACTGCATTTCTTTCTTCAATATGAAAGTGTTTTCTCTGAGGCCCTTTCTGATGCCCGAGCTGTGCTGAAAAGACTAGAAGAGTGCAGAGAAATTGATGCCTCTCAAAAGGAGGTAAGTATGTTTACCTGGGTAAATGATACATATTTTTTTCTTCACCCTGCTGAAGGCTGGAATAGTTTGTGCCCTGTTTAGGAAATCGTTTCATGAGCAACTGGGGCACCAGTGCCTGGTTGTTTGAAGGGCAACACGTGCTCACCTGAACAATACCCTGGAGAGAAGCATCTGTAAGAGCAAGCTGCTCATGTGTGTAGGTAAAGAAGTGTGCGTCCTACGCTGAAGACATTGTGTTGTAGGAGAGCTCCAGTGCTGATTTCTCTTCTGTTTATGGAATTTGCTTTGGGAACTGTATCGACTTTTAGATAACTGACATATGAGATCCCAAAATAGACTTCCCGAGCCCTCAGTGAGGGCTTGCTGTGAAGCATCTGCTTGGCTCTGCGTATGGCAGCCTGCTCGTGGGGAGCGTTCTGGGAGGGCTACGGGTGCCGCCCTCAGCGCTTCTGCTGATGGTGTGCTGCTTTAAAAGCAGTTGCTGGTGAATGATGCTCAAGTTACTGTTACAAGGGATGATTGAGTCTGGTGCTTGGTTAATGCTGAAGGATACTCTGGGCTCTGAAAAATGGTAGCCTGGTACCAGCTGTACACACCAACTTGAAGCCACCACAGAAACAGCAGGTTATGTCCGTATTGGTGTAGCTCTAGTGCAGGAGGATGCGGAGCTTGGAAATGATTGTGGTGGCTCCATGTGGGCACTCATGCTGGCTGCATGCTCCTGCATGATCGCAGGGTCTGGGAAAAAGCTGTGACACTACGGAGTGAGGGTGGAACTGAACTTGCTCTCCTTACCCGGGTGTTTCTGATAGGGCGTTTTTCATACCAGGGTACATGAACCGCCCTGTGTACTTTTTCTGTGTGTGTAAAAATGAGAATGTGACTGTTTTACTGCTGACTCTTCCATGGCTCCATGGTTAGCTGGGCCTTTGAAGCCAAGAAATGCTGTTCCCTTGGTTGGGGGGCTGCGATGCTCTGTAGGTTCCCATGTGTTTGCTGGCTGGGAAACTGTCTGGATTTGAGTCACTTGGTCCCTCCAGTACCATTATGACCATGAGACAGGGGACATTCAGGCTGTGATGGCATTCTCTTTTAAAAACCCAAGGCAACCTGTTTATTAGACAAAAACCTGTATTACAGCAGGGAGAATTCCCTTGAGTTGGGGAGTGCAGGTTTCTTTTTTGATGAGCCTTTAAATGTTTGTGGAGGGTGGCTCATGTTCTTTTACCTGCTGACCCTCCTGATGGTGTTGAATTTAACATCTGTGGGGCTTTAGGAGGGGGATGTGTGTTCTAATTCGTGTTTGTAGCAGCAAGCCTGAGTGCATAGTTCTCAGCATGCCTGCGTGCCCCAAGAAGGATTAGGTTTTCGTATGATTATATGTCGCCCTGCTCAGAAAAATATGTCAGGTTTAAGATTTTACCTATTCTGCACCTTGGCAATTGGAGCGGTGCTGGAGAGGGTGCTGGGCGATGCGGGTGAGCACTGCCAGAAAGGATTTGGCAGCTCCATGCACTCATGCCAGCAGGGATGACCCATGCTGGCCTGCCTTCCCTTGCCCACTTGTGCTGCCTCCACGGTCACAGGGCAGAACCACACCTGCAGAGTGCTCAGGCAGTGTGTGACCTCGCTTCTGCTCTGCCTAACAGCCCCATTTTCTATTGCTTTGCGGTGACTGTTGCTTCATGTTTCCTCAGCACCTCCAAGACCCAGCAGGTGAGGTTCACAGACTCGAGCCTGGCCCTTTATGCTCCCAAATGAGCTGTTGCAGCAGGAGCCAAGCGAGAGGTTGTGGAGTTCAGAGACAGTTCGGGTGTCTGACCGCAAAATGGCAGCTGGACAGTTTTTCTGCAGCTATAAATAAATGCTGAATAAATGAGAAATGGATTTTCTTTAAGCCTTCCTGAAAAATCGCTTCTCAGCTGTGACAAGCATGAAAAGTGTCAGCCCCAGGGCAGTGGGGGGCACAGACCGCAGCCTGTTGTGAGCAAGGGCTCAGCCAGATCTGTCCCTCTGAGCTCCCCTCTGAGACAAGCAGAACCTGTGGGCACCGGCACCGAGCCTGGGCTCTGTTTCCAGCAGACGGAGCAGCTTTTTCCCACAAGAGCCCAGTGTTTTCTTCAGGGGAAGCACAGCAGTGTGTTTTTTAAGTCATGCTTTAAAGTGCAAGTTCAGCTCCAAAGAGCCCAGCTTAGGATGCGTAATTAAGGCTGAGATTGTGCCAGTGATAGACGTCAGTGGATTTTACTTTTTTCCCCTCTCCTTTTATTTTTCCCTCCCCCTTTTTTGTATTATTTCACTAGTCATTTGCTTGAAGTCTCTTGGGTGCCTCGGGGCAAGTAAAAGTCTGGAAGCCTATGAGATGCCATTTCTTTGCACTGAGCAGTCTTGCTGCGCGCGCTTGCCCTGCCGCAGGGGAGATCTCCCATCCCTCATGCACACTTCTTTCTGCTCAGGAGCTTTTTGTGTGCGGCTTATCTCTACAGGCAAGCAGCAGTATGTTTTGGACAACAAAGTCTGGTCAGTGTGGGGGCTTGCAGGTGTGTTTGGGGGTTTTGCAAGCCTGCCTGTTGACAGCGAGGCTGTCCTGGTGTTCAGGCTCCTCTGGTTACCACAGATTTTACCTTGGACATAGCCTCTGTATTTGTATTCCCTTGCTCAGGAGCTCATCCCAAGGCTGCATGGGTGCCTTGTTCTGCTCCTCTCTGGTCTTGCTGCCTTATTTCCTGCTACTTCCAGTGGAGATTTGTTAGGTCATGGGGTTTTTCCCCAGGGAGGTTTGTGGTGCAGGGCTTGCTTTTGTGAGAATTATTACTTCTCTCCAAGTCTGATGTTGCATTCTGCTCCCTGGGCTGAAAAATGTGGATGAGTTGCTTTTCTGTTTAGGGAGATGTGATTCTTGTTTTTGTTTTAGAGTCTCTCTGTGTATCTGACATAAACTATTCCTATCTAATTTGGTTCTGGCTTGGATGAAACCTGTTTGGAAATGAGAACAAGACTGAAATTGCAGTAATTTGGGGAAGCGTAGAAGAGCTTTGTTGGTGTCAAGTCTTATCTTCCTGTGCTCTCTTAGAGAAACTCAATTCAAATTATTGCACAGCTCATTTGTTCCTTCGACTACTGGGTTCAGATGAAGTGGGGGAGCGTTGATTCTCCCATGTAAAAATAAATGTCATCGTGCTTATGGATCATTACCATTGTCTGTGGGCCTGTCCAGTTATTGTTGTCCTTCATTTGCAGCTGCAGGTATTTCTGGATGAGGCAGAAGAAAGAAGTTTCCCATTATCTTTTGCATCCTGATGAGAAGTGATAGGTTGTGAGGGTTCTATTTTGTGGTGGCAGAACTGGAGAACATTTTTCCCCCATTCTAGTGTAGTTGTGTGGAAGTTTGGACTGAACTTTTTCTCCCATTATGTGGAGCAAGCAGTGGTCAGCATTCTCCACAGAGCCTTCCTGGTGCTGGGGTCTCCCTCATCAGTCACATAAAAATGCAGGCTTGAAAAAAAAGCACTTAAGATATCTGAACCAGAAATGGGAACCTAGTTTTCTCCAATTATTGTATGCACAGTGATAACTGACAGACTTCATGACACGGGCATAGCCTACGAGCTTATCTGTGGTCCAGACGTGTAGAGCCAGTCCCTGTGCTGTCTGTGCCACTGACTCTTGCGGGCAGCAGCTCTGTCCATGCAGGTTTCCAGTGGCTTTTTTTATATTTACTTCCCCTTACGCACATCAAAAATGAATCAGTAGAAAAATGCAAAGCAGTTTGTGTTCACAGAAGACTGGTGGCTATGTCTCTGGAAGTTTCCCTGTGGTGACCAGCCTCCTGTGGTCAGGGACTTTGCAGCTCGCTGAACAGCCAGTGCAGCTCTCCTCAGGGAATGGAGGAGGCATTGAGGTGCTGGCACAGGAGTTACCACGTTCAGGGGTAAGTATTCTAACTGAATGTGCCTCCCTTGTGAGGGAGGTGTCTGAAGGGAGCTAGCTTCTGTCACCCTAGACCCCGTGGCTTTCCAGCCTGTCTCTTGCAGATCCCTCCCCACCACCCTTTGGGTGCTTGCATTTACTCTGAACCCAGTGTTTGAGGGAGATCTCTCAGTAGTAGCCACTGAAGTGGCTTTTTGCTGAGATGTGCTCTCACAGCAGGACCAGAAGCATGGATAAGGCACAAAAATCCATCAACCTGCTTGCCCATCTGCAGGGAAGAGGGAGGCTAGTGGCTAGATGGGCTAGTGGCTGCACTGACCTGCCCTTGTTCTCTCCTCACGTCCCTGGGTGAAATCCTCAGGGTGCCCGGGCCATTGCACTCCCTGGTAGAATGTACATTACTTGCCCATCTGGTTGAGGTCCTCTCTGGGTCCCAGGATGTGCCCCAGCATGGCACACCCGTCGAGTTGAGCCCAGCCCAGGCTCAGGACTGCTCCTTGCAGGGCCAGCCACCAGCTGTTCTTCAAGCAGCCCTGTCCCCACCCAGAAAAACTTAATCTCACCGTCGTGCTGGAGTGGGAGGTGGAGGTCCCAGAGGCACTGTCTTCCTAAAGTGTTGTGGATTGGTGTGAGGAGGGAGATTAATGCCTGGCTGGGAGGACACACTGCTGACGCAGCTCCTGCCCATTTCAAAAGCAGGTTGTGGCTCTGCATGAGCAGCATCTGGCATCTTCCTATCCAAAGCGGCAGAAGATCTTGGAAGGAGCAAGCAGAGGATAATAAGAAGCGAAGGGACAGAGCTAGAGGTTCTGTGGTGGGGCAAAGGAAGACAGCAGTGTTGGAATCACATGTATAGAGGAAATAATGCAAAATGTGGAAAATCTGGGGATTGTATGGAGATAGGAGACCTGCCTCCTGTGGGGATTCCTGTTCAGAGCTTGCCTTGGAAATGGGGAGGTTTGAGATGAACTGGGAGGACTATTCTATGGCCTGTGACTGCTGGGGAACTGAGGAGTGCTGTGGCCACCAGAACTGACACCCCCAACTGGGACCAAACTTCTCAGTGAACATTGAACCTATTTGGTGGCACAGCTTAAGCTTAAGCCATGTCTTGGTGACTCAGTTTCCCTGCTCAGAGACCCTCTCTTGCTCCAGTCTGGAAGTTGGATATGGGCTAATTTCTGCCAATTTGGCCATGAGTGGTTTTGGAAGCATAATGGATCAGGCTCTGATGTGTGGGCACACAATGACTAAGTGGAAGCTGGGGTTCCAGCTAATACCAGTATTTCTCAATTTTTTTCCAGGGTCTTTGGGAATTGTTAGTGCTTCAAAGTAAGTCTAAAATGTGCTGTGTGCTCTTTCAAAACACTGCTGAAAGGCGGCTGTTCCCACTGAGCAACGTGTCCGAGGAAAGGTCTTCCGGAAAGAGACTATAAATAGCAGAGCCTTTCAGTTTCTGAAAACTCATTTCCATTAACCAAATCCATGCACTGAGGAAGGGATGTTATCTGGAGTTCTGGGTAGCAATGCTGTGCTGATTTTAATTTGAAAAAATAAAAATAAAATATTATGACAACGCAAGTTACTTTTCATCCCTATTAGTAAAAACATGTATTTGGCAGAGTGCTGAGCACCTTTAGGATGGTAAGAGTCAAGATATTTTGCGTTTTACAGGATCATTTTCATGTGGAAGGGGCCAGTCATGCAAGCCTTAAGAACAAACATGATCTGGTTATCAAGTCTCATTACAAATTAATGTTTGTATTAAAAAAATACCTTTAAGCTTGTTCTTCAGCACGTCTGCAGCAACTGCTTTCTTCCTTTATAACAGAGTCCTTCATGTCCACGTCTCTCTGTTCAGCAGGAAAAATGCCGTTAGCGGGTAAGAGCTGGGACTCCTGCAGCTTCCCCTCTGTGGATACTCTTTGCAATAGGTCACTGCACTGTCATGCTGCCCTAATATATGAGCATTTACACCTGCTAGGAAAAGCAAGTCCACCATTCCCCTGGTGCGGCCCCAAGCAGTTGCATTCAGTCTTTTTATCATAGAAATAAAAATGACAATGACAGCAGAAAATGGCCGCTCTCTCTGGAGCTGGGCTAAGCTCTCCACTTCAAAGGTACTTTTATAGCATCCCTGGAGTCTCTAATAAAGGATGCCTGCTCTGAAAGGCTGGCATCTCTCCTGGAGAGCTGGGAAGCTTGTGTCTTTAGGGGCAATATTTACAGCGTTAAAGGGCTCCAGGGAAATGGGAGCAAGAGTTACAGCTTATTTCTTTTCCTTTTATTTCCATAACTGCGCAGGTATGTTTGCCTCTGGTTGCTGTTTTGGGCCACTGGAGTGGGTTTTGGAGCTCTGGGTGTGATTGCCAGGTGTGCTGAGAGCCCACGACAGTCAGAGTTTGCGTGCCTCCTCTCCAAAGCTTTTGCTAGGAGACGTAACTCCATTGTGACTTGAGGATGGAGATTCCTGAAAGTCCATTTAAAATGCTCTCTGCTTTCTGTGAAGTGATCTATCCTTGTTGTGCAGTGAAATATAGTGTCCCCTGCCCTAGCCATGGGTTTCCAAAGTAATTAGACTATGTTTTATTAGGTCTCTTAGACTTACTGGCATTTCGCTGTTAGGGGGAGAAATGAAAAGATGATTCAGCTCTGGTTTGTGGGGCTTGCTGTAAAGATAAGGGCTGGCAGTCGTGGCTTGCTGCCCTCTTTCCCAGGACTGGTGGCTGCACACTGGAGCTTGAGTTCAGTGATGTGTGTCTATGTGATTATTTTTTTGTTTTGTTTAAATTTTTTGTCCCCTGAACAAAAATCCCAGGATTCTGCTTTTCGTGTCTGTGTCTAGGGCAGTTGGCTCTGCTATTAAAATCTTCACTGCGTTTACCTGCCTGTTCTGTTGTAGGCTCTGGTTGCCTGTTTGGCAGAGGCAGGGGAACAGTCGGTGTTCAAGAGACTGCTGAGCAAAGTGAAGGATGCTCAGACCCTGGATGCTCAGACCCTCGTGTCTTTACTGAAGCTGTTTCAAGACGGAAATCCCAAGCTGAGAGCAGCTTTGCTGGAGAGGGAAGAGGACAGTGGAGAAACCCTGCAGCAAACAGGTACAGAAGTGGGTGCAGCCTCTGGCAAAGTGAGCAGGCAACCTCACAGACAAAGCAGGTCTCCAGAAACCCGTGTCCTTGCTGGGATGCAGGAGATTTATCATATGCTGGCTGAGATGCTGGAGCTTTTCCATCCCCCAGCAGCGGGGTGTGGGCAGTGCTGGGCTCTCCCCATTGCTGCCTGGAGGGCTGGATCGATGGCTGCACAGCCAGCGTGAGTCAGAGCGCAGCTGAGCCTCAGGATTGAAAGCTCCTTTCTTACTTGAGTCTAACACAAAGCAGTGGCCTTGCAAACCTGGTGTTAACCTCCAGCTTGCTTTATGGCTTTGTGCTCTGTTAGATAAATGAGACGTTTTCCTTTCATAGAGTTTAAAGAGAATAGTAAAGTGGATTTCCTCTGCTGCTTGTGCTTGGGATGAGCTTTGCTATTCACTTAGATCTTTCACAGAGTCTCACTCACTTCAGGAGCCTGTCAGTTCCTTCAGACTGACTTGTTTCTTCTCTTGTGTTTCTGAATCCTTTTCTCCCCAGAGAGCACAGATGAGGGAGAGACACTGACCGCTCGCTTGCTGGGACGCAGGGAGGAGCTGATCCAGAGCGTGACACAGCTGAGTCCCATCGTAGAGTTCCTGGAGGCAGCAGAAGAGGGATTCCTGACTGACTCGGAGAAGCGGGTAAAAAAAAATCTGAAATAAGGAGAACTTTGAGGGCGAGGGGGTGGGTGTGGTGTGTCTGCAAGGAAACATCTTACCACATGCTTTGCCAAGTGATGTGCTAGCCTCACCTGGCAGTTTCACCTCCCTTTTGCACAGCACGGACTGCACATGTGTGTTGTCTCAGGTCCTTCTGTGCGGAACCGTGGGAACAGTGAAAGCTGAGCTGTGAAGGCAGCCTCGAGACCAGGAGGAACGCTACGCTGCCAGACACAGAGTCAGGCTGCTCCTGCAAGTGGAGCCTGGCGCAGAGGAGGTGCCTGGTACTTCCCGTAGGCCCTGAAAATACCTTTTTGTGAGCCCAGAGAAGGCTCTGTAGTGCAGTTTGGTTTCAGCAGAACCACTAATACCTCTGTGCTTGCCAGTTACCTCCTTGTGTACATGGTCCTCAGTTTGGCTTTCAGCTGACTCTCCCAGCTTTAACTCTTTTCTTTAACTCTTATCACACAGTAGCCTGCAGGAGTAGCACATCTACTGACTGATTTTTTTTTTTTTTTTTGTAATGTGTTGAATGCAGCAGTTGGTGGGGAGGACTGTTGCTTTCCTGTAAGCAATTACATTATGTGCACTGATTTGCAGAAGCCATAAAGGACAAAATACTGTGTATAACCTGCTTTCCTTTGTGTTGGAGGGAGCTAGCTATACCCTGCCTGCGCAGCTGAAACTTGCAGGGTGCCCTAGCATGCAGCGCTCTGTACGCAGCTCGCAGACCTCCTGTCCTAGCTTGTCATATCAGTTAGTTCCCCTGACGTGGGATTATAGTGAGTGGAAAGCACTGTTGTGCTCAGCAGCATGAATGATGTCTGCTTTCTGTCTGAGTGAGCCTGACCAGAGCCACAACTGGTGGGCTGAGGATCTCTGCCCATCTCATCAGTCCTTTGACTAATGCCGTGCTCACTTGCATGCAGTCCCTGACCAAGAGTCTGGTGTGGAACATCCCCAAGCATGGGCACAGCTCGGGGCAGGAGGGCCAGAGAAGGTGCTGCCCACAGAGGCATCTGCCTTATCCTTGTGGGCTAGGGTGTGGCAGCTGATGAATTCTCCCCTCTGAAAACAGCATGGCTGAGCCTCGAATGTGGAAGTGAGAGGAGAGAGCAAGATGTGAATGCAGCAAAGGGCTCAGCATCTGCTGGGGATATTGTGGCTGTCAGCAGAGACCTGTGCAGGGGGCCTGGCGCTGAGCTCCTGGCTGTGAAAGCTGCATCAGCAGTGGGGAGATTAGGATTTTTCATATATGCTCGGTCATGTTGCAGCGTGGCCTTTCTTTTAAAGGCGGCACCTTTTCCCTGGCCTTTCTTTTTGTCTTTATGGAATTAGGTAGTAAAAATGCAGCCATTTTGTTTGTCCTTCCCATTGAAAAAGAAAAAAACAACAAACCAACCTTTTCTGCCATCGCTATTCTGCTCCTTGGGCACAGGATACAGCCTTTAATTGCATCATCATATACTACGGGACTCCTGCCTCTTTTGGTGAAAAGGCAGTGTTATTCAGTATTTCTTTTTATCCTCTTCAGTCACTGTATGATCCATTTGCTGCAGAGCCTCCAAATGCTGCTCCGAATACAAAGTCCTTCTCCTGTTAGATCTCTTCATGCTCTTGTTTTGGGCCACATGTTCCCAGCAAATAACAGATGTATTTGGGGGGCACTCCCCTGAGGCTGGGTGCATTGCTTTTCCCATGCTGTGCCACAGGAAAATAAGGCAGAAATTACTAAGTGTAGGCTGATCTTGGGGGGTTCCCTTTTTTTCAGCCTTGCTTTATTTGGTTTTTTCCTCTTCCCTGCCCTCCCCTGCCCCACCCCTCAGACGAGTGGAGAAGTGCTTTATTATTTCAGAAGTTAAATTGATTAAAATGATGGGCCTGTGGCATGTGTGCAGCTGACATCTCTGGTGTCTCAGCTGCCGTACTGGGAAAAAGAACATGGAATTAGTAGCCACCTCTGAAGGTTTCATCTTACCTGATTCATCCAGCATTGCACTAGAGCTCTTGACTGGAAGAGGTAGGATCTAGTTCTCCAAGGGTTCATAAAGATGAGGTTTTACTTTTTCTTCTCACAGTCACTGCCTCATTAGCTACACATTTATTCAGCAAGACAAGCGCAAGTTTTACATGTAACAGCCTTTTTTTCTAGGCAACCAGGTTCTTTCTGTGCCTGGTCCAAGCTGTGCATGGAGCAAGTCTGATTTTCTTTGCTGGAAAAGCAGTACCTGATGTGTTGTGAAGGCTCTTTGTAAATCCCTGGGTTTTTTTATCTACCATTTCTATTTTTTGAGTGCTTAACTTTTGGCTTTATTAATGTTTCTGTAATGTGGGGAGGTAGGGTGGAAGATTTGATGCTGATTATCACTTAAAAGAAATAAACTTGGATACAGAGGAAGAGCAGGTAACCTCTCATGCATGGTGTTCCATGGCTTAGGTTGTTGCAGAGTTCAGAGCAACCAGTCCACAATACAGCCCTGAACCCAGAGCATCAGAGTAGCTGGTAGAAACATCTGTCCTTCTGTCCAGGCTCTCTTCTAGAGGGGACTTTGGTATTTTGAGCTATGTGCTTTCTCTTCCCTTTGGCTCCGGTGCCTCCATAGCTTGATGCTCAAAGCAAACTGCTCCAGAGTCAGGACAGGTATCAATGACAGCACAAGCAAGGTTACTGGCTGTTGTAGGAGCAGTCTTAACTGGGGATGGAGAAGCCCTGTTGCAAGGAGAATGGGGGGATGTTTTCTGACTTTCTCACCTGGTGTTGTCAAAATGAGTCTTGAAATGTCAACACTCTGTCTCCCGCTGCCAGGGACATCACTTCTGTGCCTGTCGACACTTGCCTAGGAGCAGTGGTAGGTTACATCAGGAGCTCCCCAAAAGGATACTGCTCTGGTACCCTTTTTTGCATCCTCTTAGGACTTCAGACTGAGTGATCCAGAGTCAGCTCAGTGTGAGTTAGATGGGAGGATATGTCAACAGGTTTAACAGAGTTTTGGCTATAAAAGGACAGATCTTTAGAAATGAGAGAAACTAATTAATGAGATCAGTTGCTCGTAAGAGCACAGGAGGAGCTGCTGGATTAGTTTTTTATGTTGAAGGTAGGAGAGCTATCTGAAATTTGCATCCTCAACGAGAGAGAAGAATTTGTATGAGAGGTTACAGACCTGAGTGAATGAATAACTTGAGGAAGAGTATTAGGACCTGCAAGGAATGGCTGAAATGTCCAACAGGCAAAGAAATGTGCTTTAGAGGTATGAAGAGAGTCCTGTGGTACATCAGGCTGCTGGGCATCACAGGCTGTATTGTGGCAACCAATGTTTGTCTGATCCAGTAAAGAAAAATAATAATGAGAAGACATGACCATCAAACTCATGACTGAGCCTAGGGACAAATCCAAGAGACATACAGAAACAGGAATTTCCTGCAGCTGGACTGAAACCACAAGTCAAAGGTCATCCCCCAGCAGACTGGAGGAGCTGACACACATGGCTGTGAGAGCAACGACAAGGTTTATTGCTGCATTTTCCAAGTTGAGAGTGGTCCCTACAATTGATGGCCAGGACAGACAAGTGGGAGAGTGATCCAGGCAGCCAGCTCTGGGTTGCAGAGGAATATGTGTTGGGACAGGCTGGAGGGCACATGCAGCAGAAGCACTGCATATAAGCCAAAAAAATGGGATAAAATGCAGGAAGGGTGTTCAAGTAAATTGTGACTGCCTAACCTGGAATCTTTTGTCTGATGAGATAAAAATGAGTTTTTCTGCCCTGATCTAAACTTGAGCAAAGCATTTGAATTTCATGTGAGGAAATTGTTAAACTAGAGAAAGTGGTGATAATAAAAAAGGGTGTATGTTATTGGGAGATAACTGCAGATTTTACTGAAGGCAGGACTGATGGGTTGAAGCAGTGTTACCAGTGAGATTCTTGGCATGCACTGAATATGAACACTAAGGTTATTGACTCAAAAATATCAAAGCATGCTTAGCAAAACTTGCTGAGGAGCAAAACCAGGATCTTTTGTCCACACAGAGGAGGATCTGCAAGGGGGAGAAGAATTACATGGCTGCAGAACTAAGTAATGAGAATTGAACAAGGTGGTAGTATACAGTGAAGGGCGTGCGTTTAGATGCAGTAACAAGAACTAAGAATTAAAGACCTTATCTGAAATTTCTGTGTGCAGTTCCAGTCTTCTTCAAAAATGAATTTATATCAAAGCAGAGACAGCTGCAGTCATAAGATCAGGGGAATGGAGAAACTGTTTCACGAGAGGAGCTGCCTTATTTAGACAAGTGAAATGAAGACTGAGAGGGAATATGATCATGCTCTTATAAAGAAATTGGAGAGGAAGGGTAGGGTAAACACCTCAGAGACTTTAGAAGGCTTTTTAAGCTAAAAGATAATGTTGGCACATGAACAAATGGGTATACACTGGCCATGAATAAATTTAAGCTGAAAATTAGAAGAATCAACAGGGGAATGAGACTGGAAGAGCTTTCCAACCAGGGGAAAGGGAGCAAAAATGTAACTAGTTTTAGGACAGATCTTAATAATTTTATTCATGGGACTGTGTAGTGCAGTGCTTATGACAGCAGGGAACTGGGCTGGTGACCTGCAGCGTTTCTGCCAGTCCTACATTTCAAATGCTCAGGAACACAGCATTTGCAGAGAGGAGGTCAACCTGTATTTGTTAACTGGCTTTCTGTTGTAGGAGCCTTGTAGGTATTATACTGACATACTAGAGCTTTTCTAAGCTACAGTGACTGCACCTCACATAAGAGATGTCTCATGTGGCCTCATCATAGAAATAATCATTCAATTAATAGGATGCTTATTTAAATAACAAGTCTTTTATTTTTTTCTGTCCATCTCTGTCTTTTGATGAGAAGCAGAAAAACTGGGGAGACAAGGGAAAAGACTGCCAATTTAAAAAGTATTATCTAAAAATATTAAAAGAAATATTGTTTTGAACCCTGTCTTTAAGTCTATTTTTGTTTCCTTTGAATAATTTTTGCTTGTCAGCCACTTCCAAGAGCTGACCTTGGTGGACGAACCTACCGGGGTAGTTTTCAAGGTGACACATGTCAGACACACCTGGGACATGTTTAGATGTTCCTGTAACTAGCACACCATAACACCTCCTAGTTAATCAAATTTGTGGAAGCAGTGGATATGGATTTATTGCAGTACTGTGGACTGTGGTACTGTTCATATTTCTCCAATCTCTATTCAGATCCAGGAGTTGTAGAAGGCTCTCACAGACAGGTTCTTGTCTGTTTCTTTGTCACAGGTTGTTTTGGATTGCTGTGAAGACAGCTCTCAGAGAGAAGCCGTGGACAATCTGCTCAGGAAGGTGGATGAAGAGAAAACCCTGAAAGCAGAAAGCTTGGTCAAACTTCTGGGGGCTGTGAAAGCATCATTCCCTGGCCTCCACCTTCTGCTAGACAACTTGGTGGCAACAGCAACCATCTCTGACAGCAAAGGTATGGGTAGACTAAACTTCAGACTAAAGGTATGGGTAGACTAAACTTCAGAGCCTGGGGGCTCTGGATGTTTGGATGCTTGTCTGGACTGCAGCATGCTTTTGTACCCTTACTTTCACATGAGGGAATGAGATGGCCATTTTATTCAAACAAGAATGGTCTGGGAGCACTGGGGTAGGAGGACTATGCCAGTGAAAAGGCCTCTGCTTTGCAGTGAAATGTGCAGTGTGGGACAGAAGCCTGTTGGGCTCCTTCCTTGAGTTTGACAGCGATAGGGTAGCAACCAGGATGTTATTTCTGGAAAACAGAACTGTTCCCGATAGTGTCAAGTTACTATTTGGTTTTGAGTCACTTAAAAGCAGCAGCAGCATGTGTTTCCATAATAAATAGAACAATTTCACATATTAGATGGTTCAGATGTAAAGGCATCTTTACCAAACTCGGGTCCATTGGTGACTTTAACTTAATGGTACTTGCTGGCTTTGCAAGCAAATACGTAACACTTCCCCAGAGTCGTAGTTCTCTTGACATTAAATACAGACAGTGTCTTACCTGACTGCTGTCTTTGGGAATTCTTTGTGATTGAGGGATACAGTGGAGAAAATTCAGTTGGGCTGTGCTCCTGTCCTTGATCCAGGTAGCACTTCTGCACATCATGGTCATTGATTTGTGGTCTCCTGTCTGGAGCGGACAGTGCTTCTGGGAGCCCCACATTTAGTGTCCCCATTACACATCGTTATCTGGGATGGCTAGTCCCCTCCTCCTTTTTCTTTTGGGGGGGTTTATTGTTTGTTGTCTGATCTTTTGACTGGTGGGACAGTCTTCCAAGTTCAGGTGGGTTTAGGCACACCCTGAAGCAGGTCAGATAGAGAGGCGAATTTCACCAGCTCTGAAGTCACATAAAAATTAAAAACTAAATTAACATGCAGTGAAATGTAAATGAGTGTTTAATAGAAAGCAAAACTGTGCTCATAATGCTGATAATTTCCTCTGTAGCAAACATTCCCGACAGGCAGTTGCTTTGTCATTTGTTAAGCATGATTGCTTTCTTGAAACACCAGACTCCCAACATGGTTAATTATCTAGTGGTAATACCCATTCCAAGGAGGAGCATTCCTTAATTACATAGAGCTGAATCTCCTCAAATTGCAGATTGAACAAACAGAAGTGCAGATATTTCTTATCGTGGAAATGAAGAGGGAGGGAACTGTTTGAGCCACTGATGGCAGCCTTTGATGTCCTGTGCTGTCCTGCTGACAGAAAGGAGGATGCCTTGTACGGTGGTGCAGGGCATGCCCTGGTTATGGAGCTCACCCTGGTATGACTTGGAGAGTGCATTCAGAACAACTCAGATTTGTGTAATAAAATCTGAAACATTCCGATGGGAGAAGAGGGGAAAATATTTTCATTTGTAAACCATCCCCTGATCCAGGTGGGGCACATCCAAGTCATACCTAAACCCTGTGGAGCTTAATGAGGTTCCCCTAGCTTTGCCAGGGAGTAGACTCATATCTCCAAGAAGTCTTTGCCCAGGGAATTTTTCATATTAACTCAAAATCTTCCATTGATAATTCCCACAGCCTGCCCTTGCCTCTTCACCATCCTGGAGAGCTTACCTGGCACTCTGTCTTCTGAGTCCCAGAAACTTATATTTTCTTTTCACCAGGCTGGGTGCCTTAGCTGCTTTTCTCCCAAGTAGTGCTGTGCAAATAATAAAAATAGGTTCTGTTTGGTACTGACCCAAAATAATGAAAAGACCTAAGCACACAAACAAAAAACACGCACAGATGTCTGGATGAACTACAGTTTTTTGTTTTGGTTTCTCCTACAAAAGTATAATAATGCATCTTCTCCAATTTAATAACTCCAGTAATGGAAAAAAATCCTTTTCAGATGCATCTATTTGGCAATTTTTGGTTTCATTTATCAACTGATCTGACAACAAGTACAATCAAATACTACTTTTGTTACACAGTATTTTTTTCCAAATCTCTTTGTTATCCTGAATAAACACTGTTCCTCTTTCCTGAATTAGTCCGTTGTGTCCTGATATTGGGGTGTTTTTAAAGGGTTGTGGTGTTACTCTAGAGTCATTGTTTCTCAGATTCATTGGGGCAAACCTCAGTAGACCCAGCTTGGAATTGGATACGGGAGGAGGAAGGAATGAGGTTAAAGTTGCATTTTTTTAGTGTAAGGGAGAAAAGAGGGTGTCACTGCTGCTTTGCAATCACAAGTCTGGTTTGCGTTCCCTGTAAACCTTCATGAAGGACAACTCAGCCTGCTAAGTTCTTGATTACCTTGGACCATCTGGGTGTTAGTAAAATGTTAGTATGTTTGATAGCCATACACCGCTGAGATGAAGCATGCTACAGAGCTCCTTGGTGGAGTGGATCAAAGACTCTCACTTACAGACTTCTTTCAGTGAAAGTACAATTAAGAGTCAGTAATCAGGTCTCTGATTCCAGGACATGAGATGAGGTTGATGAACATCTCAAGGTCTTGTTTTCACAGACAAGGCCACATGTTTATCTGCTGAACGTGGCTGAAAACTGAGACTTTCTTCTTCTGGGCTCAGACCAGGACTGAGACTTGAAAGGCATTTGGGTGTCAGAGATCTATTTCTGTAGGCACGTATGGGCAGAAAATATTCTGTTTTGTCTTTGATTTGGAGACGTTTTGGTTTGTCATGTTCATCCTCTGCTTGAAGGTGAATCCAGGTGTACTGAGCGTAAGGCCCTGGGAAAACCAGCTGCCTTGGCTTTTTCATTCTCCCCTAGCTCTGAAGCCCTTTGGGAAGATGCTGCAAGCTGAGCTCTTCTTATTTTCATTCACTTGCATTCAGCCAAATGGAGCCCAGAGGATTACGGAGCCAAACTGTTGAGACGATACCGTGAAAACCTAGTGGAGCTCCTCACAGACACCCAGACACTGCTGCAGGGCATCTCTGCTGCACAGAGCCTGGCTCCTGCTGAGAGAGAGGTAAGCAGTCTCCTGCACGTGTGCAAGCAGATACTGAGCTTTAATTCTCATCTGGGATCCCTGTCAAGTCCTGAGGATCTGATTTACTACCTGGCTTGGTTTGGGGAAGGCCTTCAGTGGGAATTGGTTTGATGAGTCCTTTGTATATTGTAGAGAGAGTGAAACAGGTAACATGTGTGGTTGGACTAGATGATCTTCAAGGTCTTTCCCAACCTTGATGATTCTGTGATTCTGTATCACACAGAAGGTTGACAAGTAAGAGTGGCTGATTTGGGCATTGAGGAGAGATGCTCAGCTTCGGAGCGAGTTGAGGAAATGGCTGATGTGTTTGGGTGAGGAGCTGGGCTTCCAAGTGGTCACTGCTTGAGTTGTGCCATGAGCCAGGTCTTTGGCAGGGTGGGAGCAAGAGAAGGCTGCGTCTGGGATAAGCCACGGTCCTGTCCAAGCATGATGCAGGGCAGGTGGATGGTGTCCCTCCTTAGTGCCTCGCTGTGGGTCTTTCCAAGGTGATGGAGCAGGTTGTGAAGCGCGAAGGTGGCGGTTTCTCCTCGCTGGTGTGGGCAGCGCTGGAGGAGCGGACTCTGTCGGTCTCTGCTGTTTGGCAGCTGCTGCTGGCTCTGCGGGAACTGGCACCACTGAACCCGCTCATGGAGGAGATCCGAAAACAACCCGGTGCAGAGTTTTTCTTCCAAGCAGGTAATGGCCTTGGTGTCCCCCCCACACTCTTCCTGAGCTGCTCTCGCTGCTGGTAGGAGCTTCTTTCTAACTCCTTCCCCTCTCCCTGGCCGGGAACCTCTTTTTTTCCAGTGGGTCTCAACACCCATGTCCTTGGTGAAACAATTCATTGGTTGGAAAAGCACTTTGATCTACAAATGTGGCTGCTTTGTTTGTGGCTCTGTGCCTTCAGGTTTTTAATGAGCAAACCTTTTGAGAGCTGGCCACCATCCTGCACTAATGACCATTTGGAGGCCTATCAGACTGAAAACATGGGTTTCATGGGAGGTCTGTGTGCAGCCCCCAGCCTGTCCTCCCCAGAGCCTCAGCCTCTGGCTTTGAGTTTTCCTACTTTAAAACTTAAGTTGTGCTTTTCCCCAAAAATCATAGTCGAAATCGCACGCATGTGAGGAGCACTCAGGTTGGTGGTCTTGTGGGGCAGGAGAGGGAGGTTGGGCAGAGCCCAGCTGTGTGTGCTGGCCCTGCAGGCAAAAACCTGTGGGGTTTGCCTGCCTGCAGTCAGATGCCTGCAGTGTAGCTGCCTCCATCTCAACTCCTCCATCCTCCCTGTGTTCAGCCTGGAGAAACCAGCACTTTTGGGGCGTGGTGCATCCAGCCACTTCTTACTGTCCCTAGATGAGGCAGATTGTGCCTAGAAATGCTTCTTTCTCTGCAAAAGGCAGAGTGGAATGTCCATAACTGGGGGACAGAAGAAATCCTGAGTCTTGGGAGAATCACGCCAGCCTTTTGAGGTTGTCATTGTCTCCTTCAGCAATGTGCTTTGGAAAACCTATCTTCTCACCCAAAGTTGAACAAGCAGTGAGAAGTGAGGCCTGCTAGGTCTTTATGCTGGATGTCAGGGCTGCAATTAGCGTAACGAAAGCTTGCCTGTAGGTGCTTGCTGTTTCCTTTGCCCTGAAGAAGTCACTCCAGCTGTTAACAGCTCAGCTTCAGGAGCAGGCTGGATAAAGCTAAAGTAAGCTAAGGCGTGTTCTCCGTGCGTTTTGTGTTTTTAAATATCTTTTTATTTTCATCTTCAGTGGCCACCAGCGAGAGCACAGCCATCGAGATCATCCTGCGGCACAGCAAGCTGATCTCAGAGGCCATCCAGCAGAGAGGGGACCTGGAGGGCTTGGCTCCGGGTGAGGCAGGACTCACAGAAGCAGTAAAAGAGGTACAAGGAGCTGGCATGGTTCAGGGCATAAAGGATTTCAGCATACACTGAAATCAAGTGATGTTACTTAGGTTGGGGAGGTCATCGAAAGTTGTAGGTGCCCCTCTGCTGAAATGAGTGTGTTGAGTGTTTTATATAAATGCTGCAGGAGTTCTTAGGTGAAAGAAATTGCCAGTGAGATTCTCAGTTGTTGAAAATGTGGGTATTCATACACAGCAAAACTGCTTCATCTCTGCAAGAGTACTGAAGTCCTAGAGAAAGCAGAGCTGCCAGGGAGGGGATTTCTATTTAAGTTGGCTGTTCCAGGACATATGAGAATGAAACACTCCTAGAAAAAGCACTGAGGATGCCATGATTGTGTAGTGTCCCAGAGTGCTTTGCCTGTTTTCCTTTGAGAAGGAAAATGTCCTAGGAAACTAACTCTGTTAATGGGTAATGAGCTGGCCTTTTCCACCAAGCAGTCTGTGGTTGCTCGTTCCTGCTTTGCTTAGCTGCTGCTGGAGATCTGGAAGGGTGAGGTATATATGGGCATGCACAGATTCTTGCTTTGCTTTTCCTTGCAGTGACTGACTGAAGCAGGTTTGGATTTGGAAGGGAGAGAAAAGCTCAGAGTTGTGTATGAAACACAGGTTTGAGTCAAGTAAGCTTGTAATGTTGTAAGGCATTGAGGAACCACTCTGTCTGTGGAAAAGTGGTTTTAAGTGAGCTAATACCAAAACAGAAAGTCTGAGAATTTAATTTGTTGTAACTTTTTTTTAATCCTGAAATTCTCTTAGCTCATGCACATTCATCAGTGGAAGGGCAAAAACCTGTATGGAAAGGGATTTCTTTTCTGGTGTCTCAAAGCAGGTTCCCAGCAGTAGAGATAAAACAAAGATGTGCCCTCGCTCCCAGACCATCCCAACCTTTCACAGCCCAAGATCTCTGTCATGTGATATTTTTTTCTTCCTTTTCCAGCTACTGAGTATTTCTGCTCAGAAGGAAAGTTCAGAGGCCTCCTTGAAAGCAGCTCTGAGCACAGCCCAGGAGAAATCTGTTCCAGCCATCAAGATCTGTCAGCTGCTGTGCAACGTCCATGAGTCCTTCCCGGACCTGCAGCCAGTGATGCAGGAGCTGGGGCATGTGGGTGAGAAAAGCACCAGCTTTCATCCTTCTGTGATCTTTTACAGATGGTTATGGGGGGCTTGGGCAGTTTGGCAGTGGACCTCGGTGTCCTTATGGCCTGAGGTCATTTCAAAGAACTACCCCTGGCCAGATGTCAGAAGGATTCACAGGGGTGACCTCTGGATCCAAGCGCTGGAGTGTGCATTTTTCCTGCTGGTAAAACTCACCATGTTAAAGTTTTGTATGTTATGAGTGTTGTGGAGACTGTAACTGACCCCGTACTGCTATTCCTTAACTGTGTTTGCATTTCCCCAGCCCTTGCTCTGGAAGCATTTAAGCAACTTAATTATATAATTTATATAAGGATTTTGTTATTTTTCAGGATTATTATCCTTAAGCTGTGGAGTTTCTTTGGCTCTTTCTGTACTGTTGGATCTGTATTAATTTGGACTTATTACAATCCCTTGACTTTATCTGTGTATGTGTGGATACCTCACAGGCTGATAGCAAAAAGGTCCTATCAGAGTCCACTTGTCTTGTGTGAAGATGATCGTGACTGTGCACTTTGCCATCCCAGACTATTTTCAGAGTTAATTTTCTTATGATGCCTTAATTTGGTCTTGCTATGTATACACTTTACAGAGCAAATGATCCCCTGGGAGGGTCCCACAGCAGTAGGGGAATGGTACATACTGGACTAGTTTGGCAAAGGTAGGAACAAAATGTATGCAGATAGCAATTTGGTGAACTCCAGAAACAAATGCATAGCGATAAGCATGTGAGACCCTGCCCGGAGCTGTGAGATGCTTTCCAGCTGAGATGAATTGTATCTCTTCATCCATCATTTGAAGGAAGAATACTTAACAGAATTTGGTGCTTTAATGAAAAAGATAATGGAGGGCCAGGAAGCTAACTGCAGGTTTGCATTCTCTTGAAAAGGATGCAGATGCGACTTGCTTGTTCTGTTTGCTCACATACATTTTTATGGCATCGTGTTTCCCAGCGCATCCAGATTCTTCGGGCTGCAGAGCCCACTGGGATGTACACAGTGTGATTTTTATCTGAGCACAGGCGCTGGTTCAGCTCAATCCATCCCTGTTTACTTGTAGTGCCAGAGCTGCTTACTTTATGGTGCAGTGTGGAAATACTAGCAGATTGCTAGGTGGTTAGAGGAAGCAGCCTATTATTGATGTCTCATCTGTATTTTTTTAGGGGTAAAAGGTTTGATTGCTTTGTCTGAAAACTTGGGTCAGGGCCATGGTTGGTCTTTATGAATGAACACAAGCCTCCTGGCTTTGACACTTGCCATTGTTTCATGTTCGACAGTCACAGGCCAAGCCAATGTTCCTCGTGTGCTGGGAAGGGGCAGTGACCTGCTCCTAGGTCACTCTGCACCCTCGGTTCATTAGCTTGATTGTGTTCTTGAGCAGTGGGGAAATCTTGTTGGGGTGGTCGATGGGGGTGACTGGGAGCAGTGGGGGTGTAGAAGCAGTCAAGGATGTGATGACTAGCTGTAGGGCTCGGAGGGTGAGAGCATATGCTCTGCTCCCCTTCTTGGCCAGTGGACTCCGTGGTCTCCCTGAGAGATGCCCTATGCTGTAGGTGCACAGTGTTCATGCCTCGTTCAGATCTAGGTCCTCTCTTCTAACTCCACCAAGATCTGCCACCAATCCAGTTGGCTTTTTCACCTGGCCATGGTTCTGATGAGGATTTCCAGTGAAGAGGTGATTCCGTCTGATCTGCCATTCCTTCTCTGGTCTCCTTCTGATGCTGCAGGTGCTTGTCTCAGTCCCCTTGACCCTGCCTGACCATGGGATGTACCAGGGCTGATGTCCTGGTGACTCTAGGGGAGGTAAACCAACAGCAGTTGAAGTGAATGTGCAGCCCACCTCAGCTCCTGGACACCTTGCAGTGCTTTCCAGCAAGGGACCTGGGGAGTCAGCTAGATTGCTCTGGCAGCTGCATGCATCTCTGGCACCACTATCAAAGAGAGCAGACTGCTGTTACTAAGTGTCTTCACAGGGCTTCAAGCCAAGATTGAGACAAAATCAAGCAAGAAGCAACATCTCAAACAAGAGCCCTGGAAAAATGGTATTTACTTGGCAAATACATATTCTGTATGAAGTATTCTGAGGAGGATTGCCGGTTACCAGCCCCTTTTTGGCATCCTGCAGCTCCTTACACCAGATTTCTGTATCTTAAATTCTAGGCCAGTCTCCTCAGCTCTGATATCACTGCTTACCAGCCCTGAATGTTGCAGGTGTCTTTATGGATCAACAGCCATGTGGCTCTTGGCATGAGATATGAATGATAACTGCAGGCCTCATGTTTGAGGATGAGAGCTTCCCCTTGAAACAGGGATCTTAGATCTCTGAAGAACATATGTGCTGCATGGAGGTGCGTACAGTTTGCATTTCCACTTGAGAGCATTGGGTTTTACATCTCTAACACACAAAAAAAAGAAAGGAAAAAGATTCTGATACTTAATTTAGGTGAGCTGAAGCAGTTGGAAAGCACTAGACATCCTTGTGGAGGAAACTGTCTGCATCCATCCCTGTCAAAGTAATGGGCTGGTTTCTTTGGTGGAGGTACAATATGAAATCTGTGGTTTTCTCCTTGGGTCCCTTCTGTACTCAGAGCACTTTCACTGTTGGCAGCTGATGCTTGCAAGGATGAGGTTTGGCTTTTCCAGCCAACTCCATAACCTCCTCTCTAGCCAGCTGCTTTCCAGGTCTTTGTACAGTCACTTTTTGGGAGATCATGTTTGTCAGGATATACCTCACTTTTAGATCTCAGAAATGCGTCAAGAACTCCAGCAAAAAGGCTTTTCCTCTACATAGTCTTGTGTTTAAAAAAGACAGCATCTAACTTAGTCTTGAGTCAGCCTCTGGAATTATTAAATTGGAGGGTCTGCGAGCAAAATGCCATTCTCCCCTGTAAAAGTTTTGCATTAGAAGCCACCATGTGTGCCAGCAAACATCAGAATGATTTTCAAGGTGCAGAGGAGTAGGTGAGATTTTCTTCCAGCTTAAGCTGAAGAAGTGAGAGATGGGATGGTCACACACTAGGAGATGATCTTCTGGAGTTCTGCAGGGAGGGTAGAGCAGCCACCAGGATTACAGACTCAGTGGACCGCTTTAGAATTAGAACTTGGTGTAAAATATGCCATAATTAACAGCAGGGGTTTTATTCCAGTGCTGAATGTCTTTGTGACCAGAGACTGGAACGTGACACAAAGCCCAGAGTCCCAGAGGACACTGCAGTCAGGAATTCCTGTCTGGGACCTTTCTGGTGTACGTTTACCCTAGGGCTCTGTCTGCTCCCAAGAGGCTCAGCCAGAGGCATGGCCAAGGCATCTGAAGTTACCACCCCTCAAACTTGATGTGCAGTCACTTCTTCACTCTGGTTTTATTTCTTATGAGAGCTCTCAGGTTCACCTCCAAGCTTCCTGCATCTACAAGGATGGAAGTTGACTGGATAATGGCCATTCTTCAGTGCTGGTCTAATGAGGTATGAAATCTTGTCTTCACCCATAGCAGGGTCTCTGAGAGACATCCTGGCTGCCAAGTGGAAAGGAATTGCTATTCTGATGATGTAGTGCCACATGTCCCCTCTTCTGTCCAGATAGCAGCCAGCCCATGGTACTTGATGCCGTTAAAGATACCTGCAAGTTAACCTGACACCTCCCTTTCTGTCCTATCAGTTTTGTGTCATGCAGCTTAGCATGGCTCCTTTCTCCTCTCTCATGGTGGCCAAACTTTGAAAGCTTTTTGAGGGTGTATTCCACCGTCAGACAAGGTTTCTCCTGCCATCCAGGATGTATATATTACACTGGCACGGGACAGGGTGCAGGTACCTAGCCATTGATTTCATGTGATCTGCGTCAGGTTTCTTTCAGAACTCTTCTCTAGGAGTAGTATCATCCCTCTGGTGATGGGAGAGCTGTTTGTGGAGCCTCTTTATGCATTTCCCCATGAAGGTGGACTAAAGTTGAGAGCTCCCTCTGGCTTTATGCCATTATATTCTTGTGCTGTTGTCTAGGCTGAAAGTTTGTAATCCTGATCAATATTTTCAGACAGGAGGACCATGAGCCAGCTCTTGAGGCATTGGGGTCTGTGGCAAAATTCCACTTCATCTGACTCAGGTTACACCCCTGATGCCATGGCACTTTTTCTAGGCATTTCCAGTCCTGGTTTCCTTAGTGCTCATATCTTCATCCACGTTCCTCCTGCCCAGCAAGATGTCTCTTTTTGACATTCAACATTTCTGGGAGGTTTAAAGATACTTCTTCAGTGGGGTCAGAAAAACTGAGAGTGTTGGGTTGTAGGGATGCGGGAAGAGACCTTAGAGGTGAAAGGTGTGTATTGCTATTTTGACAGAGCAGGACAAACTGGAAACCGGTCTTCCAGTCTTTTTTTCTCCCTTGATGAGTCACCATGTGACATCTTAAGATTTCCAAGTCTGTTGGAATATGTCATCTGGTTTTGAGTTGGTTGGATATCCAGGGCAGTAGCACTGTGCAGGGGGACACTTTGCTGAGCTCTTCCCATAGCAAAGGAGGCAGAAAACAAGTTTTGCAAGCACAGGCTGAATTTCCTGTGCATTGACAAAAGAAGTCTGCACTGGTTTCCATGGCCACACAGTTGCATGGTTCTCATTATAGCAAAGAAGCCAAATATATCTGTTTGTATTTTGATTTCTTCCCTATGTACATTCCCTGTGGGTCTTTTCTGTAGATTGAGATCCTAGGTGAATTTTTCCAGCTTGTGCTTTTTGAGATGATGGTGTTACAGGGACTCAGAAAAGCATTAGACTTTTTAAGGAGTGAATGTAATGAGCGATTTAAAATACCTCAGGGCCGTAACCAGAAGACTCAAAAGGATTGTAGCAAGATTATCTGTTCCCTTTCAGAGGGTTTGCATTTAGGAAGTGTTCCTGAAATTTCTTCTAATTAATGGCTGGATATCCACTCTCAGTGGTAGACTTAGCATCATATCTGAGGCTCAGATCTTCAGACATTTAAGTGTACCATAACTGTTGCTTCCAAACATCTGCCTCTGTCTGAGCAGGAGGCAGATGTTTGGAAGCAAGAGTTGTTCCTGCTTGACGAGCAAGCTCTTTAGAAAATTTGACCTGGCTCTTGCCATGTCATCCAGCCCCTGGTATGTGTGAGTGGAGAAATTCAAGGACCACTCTTTCATGTGTCGTACCATGCGTGGCTGCAGCCACTTTTGGGCAGAACCGTGTGCCACTGTTGTGATGGGGCAGCATGTCCGGTGTGTCTGTTACTGCTGTCTAGGAGCATCCAGGAGGTGGGAGACCAAGGGGCTGGTGCATAGTCCTACTAGTCACCACTGAAACAGGAATCGCTCTTTCCATAGGACTCTTGATTGAGGGAAATGGGGAGAAACCTGGGATCAGGAAGTGGAAGGTGAACAGTGAATCCCAAGTTGAAGCTCTGGACAAAGATGAGGACAAGGCAGGAGGTGCCGGCGCCAAGGAACCAACGGAACCCCAAGAAAAAGCTTCTTCCAAGAAGAGTTTTGTTTGCAAAGCCTGTGATAAGACCTTCCACTTCTACTGTCGCCTGAAGGTGCACATGAAACGTTGTCGGGTGGCCAGAGGAAAGCAAATGCAGTGTAAGGAGTGCAGTGAGGTCAAATCAACAAAGAAGGAGCTGGAGAAGCATCAGCTGGAGGTCCATGGGGTGACGGGGATGGCCAAGAAGAAGAAGAAGCGGCTCCCTGTGGCATGCGACATCTGTGGCCGAGAGTTTGCTCACGCCTCAGGTAGGGTTTGAGGGAGCAGGGTGGTAGAAGGGGTGTTTGGACAGAAGTCTGGACAATATAATAAAGCAATAGCCTGAAATCTCCACCTCCTCCTCCTCCCTGCAGCTCTGCAAGTGCCATGTGTGAGAAATGCAGCTCAGCTCATTTCTGCTGCCCCACTGAGCGCAACCGCTTTCTGATTAGTTCTTCCCTAATTGGTTTTCCACATGGCTCATCAAGGAAAAGTGGGGCTACTGTCAAATTTAAAAGCCTTCAAAAATAATCAAGCTGTCCCAGTTTTGTGGCTGGTTTAGCAGGATGAGTAAGAGGTGTTGAATCTCTTTGCCCTCCCCATGGCAGCTCATGATACCCTGGTGGGGCTCCGGGCTGGGGGACACTGGTGGAGCCCCAGTGTCACGGGTGGGCTGGTGGACCTCCAGGTTGGGTGGAGTGGTGCCTCTGCAGCTGGGTCAGGCACCAATGCCACCTCAGTGTCCTGCCTGCCTCCCCAGGGATGCAGTACCACAAGCTGACAGAGCACTTTGATGAGAAGCCCTTCTCCTGCAAGGAGTGCGGGGCCAAGTTCGCAGCCAACTCCACGCTGAAGAACCACCTGCGACTGCACACAGGGGACCGGCCCTTCATGTGCAAGCACTGCCTGATGACCTTCATGCAGGCCTCGGCCCTTGCCTACCACACCAAAAAGAAGCACGCTGAGGGTGAGCCTACCCTGTGAGAGCCTGGCTGTGGGCTTAGCTTGCTCTGTCCATCCACCCCTTTGTGCCTAATTCCTTTTATCTGCCCCCTGGGTCCTCTGGGAGAGCCCTGGGCAGCAGGCTGCTCCCAGATCTCCTTCACCTGCGTGGCTCTGCCTGCCATTCCCCACTGCCTTTCACCCATCCCCTTCTCCTGGTCCTCCATTTAGCAGTTTGCTCTCCATTAAGGGGATCTTCCTCTTCATCCTCCTTCTTTGTTTTTCTCCTGAGTAGCTCCTCTCTGTCTAGACTCCTGCAATGTGCCCTTCTCCCTCTGCTTAACCTGCTTTCTCCTGTCCCTCCTTCTGGCTGAATTTCATGTTGTTTTTCATTTTTCACCTGTGCAGTACTGGGGCTTAGGCCTCTGCCAGCTCACAGGCACAGAGGATGCATCACTGTGTTTGTAATAAATACACTCGGGTGTATTTCCCACTGTTGCACGAGTGTGATGCAGTTGGACAATTAGTTTTTAACCAGCGTGTGGTACCTCTAGAAGTTTGTAGTATCTCCGTATACTTGAGGTCAGTGGTAATGCAGGTGTTGTTTTCTCCAGCACCTCCAGGACCTTTTTGACCCTGCACTGAGATGCTCTGGGTACCCCAGCACAGCCTGTCCGCTTTACAGTCTCTTCCCTCTCCCTTTGAAATCAGGCATAGCCCAGACAGAGCTCCTGTCCGTTAGGTGCAGGCGCTCACCCCGGCTGTCCCTGCAGGGAAGATGTACGCCTGCCAGTACTGCCACGCCGTGTTCGCCCAGTCCATCGAGCTGTCGCGCCACGTTCGCACTCACACGGGGGACAAACCGTACGTCTGCCGGGAGTGTGGGAAAGGCTTTCGCCAGGCCAACGGGCTCTCCATCCACCTCCGGACCTTCCACAGTGAGTGTGGCCATCTGCCTCTCTGTCTTTGGCATCCCAGCCTGCGTGGCATGGCTTCTGCAGGGTCATGACAGTCCCATCTGTGCCAGTAGAGGCTTGTGTGGTTGTTACTGGTGTCTGCAGGCTGGCTGGGTGTCTTGTGGTGGGATTTTTCCCTCCCAAGAAGGGCGAGACCTCCATAGTGGTTTGATGCTATGAGTAGGGTTATCCCAAAACAAATGGCAGGGATGGCTTCCAGCAAACTGCAGACTGCTGGGAGCTCACTGCAGGAAGCTGTAGGTCAGCAGGAGCAGCAACATCTGTATGCAGAGCCAAAACTCCACTGCTAGTTTTCATCTGGAGAGTAAATTTCTTTCCCTTTTCTTTCCTCCTTCTGAATTTCCCTCTTAATTCTTTTTTTTCCTTGATTTCTTTGCCCCCTGCGGTTTTTGCTGCACCTCTGGGCGGCAGGCATCGAAGATCCCTACGACTGCAAGAAGTGTCGGATGAGCTTTGCCACCCTGCAGGAGCACCGCAAGCACATCCACGAAGCCCACTCCCGGGAGTACCACCCCTGCCCTACCTGCGCCAAAGTCTTCAGTGCCCCGTCACTCCTGGAGCGCCATGTAGTGACCCATGTCGGGGGGAAACCCTTCAGCTGTGACATCTGTGACAAAGCTTACCAGGTGAGCTGTGCAGCAGGGATTTGGTCTCGTGCCAGAGGTTGCTGTTGCCTGCTCCTGCACCAAGATGTCTCTCCTGGCTGCGCGCACTGAGTGCAGCAGTCTGTGGTCAGCAGAGGGAAAAATTGCACAGAGGAGGCAGAGTCTATAGGGAAAAGGCAGGTCCATGGAGAGAGATGGGCTGTGGCCGCAGAGGGCTGCATACCTGCCCGTCCACACCCTTACAAATCTCTTTCACCTAAGCTTCCAGTTCCCAAGAACTGTAGGAATAAAAATACTCATGTTGTCAATGGCATGCCTCGGTGGGGGTGTATGTGGGAGTACATTCCTACAAGGGAACAGACATTCAGTGCTAAACAGGGATCTGCAGCGAGTGAGTCAGCAGTGTTCAGCTCTTTGGGGGCAATGGAGAAACAGAAGTGAGGTGTTAGCTCCTGTCCTGTGGGAGGATGAGCAGATCTTGTACCTGCTGAGCACAGCCCCACTGTTCCTGTTGCTTTCCACATGGTTTCTTGCTGTCATGATGCCCCTGGAACAGCTTGGAATTGTAACCATGATCTGATCCTTATCATTGCAGCAGTTGTCGGGTTTATGGTATCACAACCGGACCCACCACCCTGATGTCTTTGCAGCTCAGAACCACCGCTCCTCCAAGTTCTCCTCCCTGCAGTGCAGCTCCTGTGACAAAACCTTTTCCAGCACTGCTGCTCACCGAAAGCACGTCAAGGCAGAGCACACAGGTAACAATCAGTGAACAAAACTACGCGGTGACTGCTGGGAGAGATATAGTAATGACTGATAGGACAAGGTTGCAGTTCCCATTTGCCTGCAGATCACAGTAGATTCTTTGTATCCTATATCAGTCTCTTCTGGCAAGTCTCGGTGTCTTGCAGCTCACTTGCTCTTGGCGTCTCCTTATCTCCAGAGTTGCTCCTCATGTTTGTGTGTATGTGTGGTGTTGCTGAAGTATTAACATAGCTCTGATGCAGATCTCTTGTAGAAGACCTTGGGTGCATGTTGGCTGTTCTTGGCCTTGTTTGCAGATGTGAAGTTACACGAGTGTGAGATGTGTAAGGAGCAATTCCCTACGCTGACTCTCCTGCAGGTCCATGTGAAGTGCAGGCACTCAGGTCTGTTACATTTGCTGTTGTTCAAGTTACCTTGTGAGGGGTGACTGCTCCTCTCAGTGAGTAATATCTGAGCTGTAAGCGGGAGAGCGAACACGGACACTTTAAGGAAACAGAATGTGAAGGAACGGAAAATATGGGTGAACTGGAAAAGCACTGGTTTTGGTGAGGCTGGAACATGTTTGTTAAGTTTCTGGAGCCACTGGAGTCAAGGAGGGATGTGGATTTGCTTCTTACAGCAGAGAAGAAAGCAAAGTGCAGTGAGGAGACATCATCAAAGAGAAACAAGGAACTGAACCCAGAGCATTGGGGTTTGTCGGGGGTAGAGCTAGTAGGAAGCTGAAGAAAAAGGGAGGTTAACACCAGAAAGATCAGAGAGGGACTGGGCTGGGGGAGACCATGTCAAGGGCCCTCTGGTAAGCGGGCAGGCTGAAGCAGTGCTGTGGGGGTGGAGTGCACCGGCAGACCAGACTGCTATGAGTGGTGGGCCCTCAGGGCTGTGCATGGGATAGCAGAAGACGAGATGGGTCAGGAGATGTTGGAGGGGGCAGCCAACAGCAGCCTGGAGAGTGAGGAAGGAGAAGACCCAGACATAGGTCTCTCTGAGAGGAGAAAGCCCCTGGGGTGGGTAATGGGTTTGCAATAGCTGAATCGAGAGGTGCAAGCAACTTCTCCAACAAGGAGCAGTGCTAGGTGGTGTAAGGGAGCAGGAGGGAGAGATGTCTGCAAGAAGGGACAGCTGCAGCTACAAGCAGATACACCAGCCTGGTTTCTGAATGCTAGAGCTGACAGAGATCTGAACAGCCACAGCCTGTTTGACAGAGCCAAGGTGTAGCCAGGAGAAGGGACACCGGCACATGCCGTGCCTCAAGTCCCTGGTGGGTTTCAGCCCAGCACACCGTGGCTGTTTGCAGCTCCCTGAGCCCTTGGACAGGCTCTGGCCATGGCAGCCCAGGCTCAGGGCAGTGCTTCTCCCCGCAGGCTCCCACCCGTTTTGCTGCTTGTACTGCTCAGCATCCTTCCGCTTCCCAGGGGCCCTGCAGAACCATGTCACCAGCGAGCACTTCAAGCAGATGGAGAGCACCTTCACCTGTGAGCTCTGTGGGGAGCTCTTCCCCTCCAAGGGCGAGCTGGAGGGACACTACAGCACTGAGCATCCCAAGGTGGTCTTCTCCCAAGCCACCACAGCCCAAATTGTGCAGGTAAAGACTGCTCTGTGCCACAGCCCCCGCCATTGTTCATCTATCCTCCCGCTCCAACCCTCTTATTCTTCCAAAATCTGCCCTGTGTCTCCTGTCACTCCTTCTGCTCCCTGATTCCCCCTTCTTAGAAGGGTCCAGGATGCAGGCCCCACAGCGCTCTGGGATTTCTGTGCTGGTGTGAGGCAGGCTCACTGGAGGGGAAGCAGCTCAGTCCTAGTTTTCAGGAGCCTAGGAGGAGGGAGTGTGTGCAGAAGTGCCTGTTTACTCAGAGTCTATTAAAACCCAGACAACATACCCTGTGAGATTATAGCTGTTTTGGTGGAGGCCAAATGCTAGGTTTGAACCCAGACTCTTTCTTTTCAATATTTCAGCCATCAGTGGAGAACAGCTCCTTGAATGAGGGAGCCCAGTGTGCAAGATTCCCTGGGCTGGCATTCCTCCAGTGGATAATCACAGAGTGTTCCTTGTCTGTGACTACTTGTGGAGCTAATTACAGCAATTTTGTGGAGAAAAATATTAAAATTACTCTCCTGTATTCTCTTTTGCATCATCAGTGTGTGTGTGGTTTGGTGTTTCCCATTAGTCTCACGCCTGTTGTAATTGCAGACCTCTGGTGTGAAGCTAAATGTTATCACCAGAGCTGGGGCTGGGGCAGATGTGGGTAGGAAAGTGCTCGTGTGGGAGGTGGTGCTGTAAGTGTCTGACTCTTAGGTCATCTTCCACACAGGTGATTCAGACATCGGAGCAAGGAGCAGCAGAGCACATCATCTCTTTTGATGACACCCAACTCACTGGCTCCCAAGTCTTTGTGACATTGCCTGAATCCCAAGCGAGCCAAACAGGCTCCGAGCTGATGGCAGTGACTATGGAGGACTTGTTTGATGACAAAGTCACTCTTATTTGTGAAGAAACCAAGTGAAAGCGGTGGGTGCCTGTGCATGGCACCTGGTATCCACTAGACTCATCTGGGAGCTGGACCTCAATGTGCTGCTCCAGCAGGGAGTTTCAGGAGTTCTTTGGGAAAGCAACCCCGGGTATGTGATGCTGCAAAAGAAATGGCATGCAGCAGGCACAGCATGGCCAAGGACAGGAGAGGTTTGTAGACATTCACAAGGGCCTGGGAAGTCTCCTTGAGAGAGCAGCTGCCAGCTCATGTGAAATGGACCACTCATCCCTCCCAGCTCAAGAGAAATAAAGAAGCAGAGGAGAAGATGGGAATGGGGTGTGTTCACGTGTGTTCCTCCACTTCTGTGAACAGAGATTAGTGCAGGATGGAGTTGGGGTGGTAAGGGTATGTGAAACCAAAGAAGGTTGAAATTTTGATGTGCTTGCAGGTATCTGCTACTCTGTAGGGTGAGTAAGGGCTGCTTCGTTTTCTGTTGCTCTCCCCTGTACCTTTGTGCTGCCTGTTGTGCCAGCTGGAAAGGTCCTCCAGCACCGAGCTGACATCTGGCCTCTCTGCTCAGACTTCTTGGGAGTTGTGCTAAATGGCTTAAGAGCTGTTTAGGTAATACCTTGTGTAGCACAGATCTGATCCCATCCATGTTTTTGCTGTGGCTCTGCGTTATGAAGAGGGGTCACAGGCAGGTCTATGTATCCACATCCCCTTTGCGAGCAAGCAGCCCAGAGATCTCCCACCCCTCCTCTAATTCACTGAGAACAGGCTGAAGCTGCCACATCTGAGGAAGGAGAAGGAGCTGTGCCTGTGTGCCAGGGCCCCTCGTTACTGCTATCAGTGGGTTGGCACTAATGGAGGTATTTCTGTCTGAGTGTGCAATAGCTGCTGTGAGTGCACGTAGATGTTCCCCGTGGCACGCAGGGCATTGCTTTGTAAAATGTGTTCACATGCCTACTGTAAAGTTTGCTTCTCTGGTGCCAGCGTGATGCAACAGCTTCACTGCAGTGCACTGACTGGCTCCTTTAAGGCTAAATTTCATAAAGCTTTTTATCTGCAGTTTCCTAAAATATAATCTGATAATTAATGGTTTGCTGAATCCATTATGAAGTGCAATTAGATAGATGCAGGGTTCCTGTGGCTCTGAGGGGACTGGTAGCATTTATCTTCCTTTCCCTCATGCCAAAAGGTTGAACTCTGCCACTGGGATATTTACATACTGAGCAGCGATCCCAGCACATCTCGCAGCCTGAGACCCTGCAGCGAGCAGCACCCGTTTTATCACACTACCCAGAGCCATGGGAGTGCAGGAGATGAACAGATTGGAGTTTTCCAGCAGGATCTTGTGCCGGCTGCTCACAGCCACCAGGCAGAGATGGACACACAGGAGCGTACCCAGGTGATTGTGCTAGTAAGAGAGTTTGTTGTTCCTGTTGCAACCTGGAGAGAAGAAGTGAACAGCATGAGGTACTCCCAGGAGAGGAGCTAATATTCCGCGTGGCATTTTGTGTGTGTGAGTGTGGCAGGAAGCATATGACCCTGTTGAAGAGTTGCACGTGTCTTAAGGGGCTCCCACCTTTCTCTGCCTCGGTTGCATGCAGGGTTTGTCCCCCAGGCTCTGTGGTGATGGTGAAATGAAGCGTGAGGTTAAGTTGCCACTATATCCAGTAATGACCAGGAGATGGTGCTCAAGGTCTTGAGGATTAGTGCTAATGGCCAGGTACCTCTGCACCTTTGCTGGAGCTCCTCTTATACTTCTCAGGCCTTCCCCAGCTCCTGGGCTGGCAGGAGAGCCTTTGAGCCACCACGAAGCTGAAGCACAACTCCAAGCCCAGGACAGGACACCTCCAAACCCTGGATATCGCTGCTTAAAGAAGAGCCAGAAACCGGGCCATGGCCAACTGTGGAGAGAGGAAAATACATCTGTTACAGAGGTGAAGCAGTGAAAAAAACTGGGATTCCTTTTGGCCAGGAGGAGAACAGGGGTGGAACTGCTGGAGAGCATCTCATGCCTGCCCGGACACAGGAGAGCAGTGCATGGCACTTGGGATAATGACAGAACAGGCAAGTACGTCTTGATGGTCTCAGAGCAGATGTGCTGAGAGATAAGGGGTGGATTTTGTCCTACAGGCTGGTGGAGATGGAAGCTGTTCCCCTTCTTCTGGCTCCCTGGGGCATGGGAGCTGTGGAAATCCTGCCTAGGCTGTGTGAGTGCTATGGAGCAGGGGATGGATTGTCCAGGCAATGCTTTGTAGATGTCCAAGCCTTCATCTGGGAGCCGGTATCTTCAGGGAGTGTGAGGATAAGCTGACCTCTCTTTGTTTCTAAAAACTTTGAAGGAAGAGCAAATGTTTAGCAGGGTTTAGGGAGAAGGGGCCTTATTTATAGCCCTCTCAGAAGGCTGGGGGGAGCTTAGCTGGGGGAGAGCATGCAAGTGATCTTGGTTTTGATCCATTAGGTCCCTGTTGGGCAAGTGTCGGCACAGTTGAAGGGGGATGGTGGGGATCACACATCAGGCACAGTTCAGGCTTACATCTCCTGTTTAGGGCCATCTCTCCTGCCTTTGTGCCCTGCAAGAGTCTGCATGGACGTATCCTCAGCAGAGTCCTGCCAGGAGGATACACCCAGTGAGAGCTCTGCAGCTGTACAGAGACCATCAAGGCATCTCCTGTATCATTATAAGAAGATAATAACTCAGATCTCCCCATTTCAGTTCCTTCTTGATGGATGAAATATGCACGTCAGAGCAAATTGCAATGTTGTCAACACCTCTGTCCTACCCAGAAGGAGGATGCATTTCCCAGGGCACATCCTGGCCTGGTGTGCAAAATGCTGAAGATGCTGATCACTAGTGATTGCTTCTTATGCTGCATATTCTTTTTTTTTTTTTTCATCTGTAAAAATAAAACAAGGAGAATGAAAGACAGAGATACAGAGTGAAACAATTGATTGGAAGGAAAATGTGATTTCTTGTTTCTGAAAATGTGATTTTTTATTTCTTTTTTTTTTTTTTTTTTTTTTTTTTGCAGGTCTTCTCCCAGGTGCTGGGTGACCAATTGGGTTTTGTGGGGTCCTGTGCCCCTCTTGACCTTGGTGCTGTCCTCTGTAAGGAAGCAGAGGAGCTATTGTCAGGCCAGCCTGGAGCATGGGACTGTCCTGCCCTTTGCTGTGTTCTGTTGCAGGTGCCGGATGCTTTTGGAAAAAGGGCAGAATGCCTGTAACAGGAGCCTGGGGAGTAACATCCCATGGAGGATGTTAGATCAGTTAATGATTTATATATCTCCATGCATTAATTGGTGCCATTTAGGGTGCAGGACTAAGCTTGTGACTGTTAGGAAATGTCTGTTTTCTGTGCGACTTTCATTCTGACCTGGTGTCTGTCCGTCCTACTGAAGGATCCAATGGAAGAAGGCAGGGGGCCACTGGGTGTGGCAGCAGCTGTGAGCAGTCCTCACTTGGCATTTTCCAGTGTACAGTGTAATCTTGCCAGCCCCAAGGTGTTATTTTAACACAGCATATGCAAATTCTGTGCTCTGGGCTTTGGTTTTGGTTTGGTTGGGGGTTTTTTTAGGTTCAACCCATCTGTGATTAGGTGCAAAGATGCTACTGCCTTGCTCAGGAGCAAGGGAAGGAGGTGGTGGGAGTACGGAGGGAGCTTGGACACTGCTTGAAGCCTCTCCCAGGGAGAGGTGGGGAGAGCAGGTACCCGCAGTCTGAAAACCCCCCGTGTGAGCTGGGCAAGCCCTGGTAGCCCCTGCACCCTGGCTGATGCTGATGTCTTGGCAGATTTCATTAGCGGTCTGGCAGGCTGCTAGCACGTCCCCAGCGAATTCAAGCCCTGGAAAATGGAAGCAGTGTTTTCAACAGCCTCCAGCTCAGCAAATGCTGAGCGGCGTTTCGCAAGGCGGAGATGAGACGCTTCAGCAGCCAGAGGGAATTCCCTCTCCCAAACAGTGGTGGTTTGCTGCAGACTGTGAGAGCTGAGGTGCTTCCCTGGGAGATGGGCTCAGTAACCTTTTGTTATGGGGAGGAGCAGGCTGGCTAATGGAGGGGGCTCGGCTGCCCCTCCAGCATCAGTTAATGCATCTAATCCCCCAGCACAGTCAGCTGTAGATGCCTTGTTGCAGTAAGTCACCACAATTCCTATTTTCCTGCATTAAAACAATATTTTCTTTCATTGGGTCTGCAGCCGGCCTTTTGCACACGACGAAGAGCAGCAGCAGAAGCTCTCACTTTGCCCTCCCTGCAGCATTTATGATCACTCAGAGCCACAAACCTGCCCCGGTTTCTAATCATATTTAAGCAAACATGATAAAATGTAGCTCTTAGTACATTTGAGATACGTGGATGCTGTGTGGTGCCTGCTGTTCAGTTATTATATACAGCTCTCCTCTACAAACGGGATGGGGTTGGGAAGCACCTACAGGTTGGGCCATGACACTGGTTTCTGTGACCTGCAAGGAAACAGAAAGTCCTTGCCAGCAAAGCATGCTGGTGAGACAGAGGTTGAAGGAGCAATAAGGACCAGTGGGGATCCAAATTGCCTGGCACGCGGGCGCAGGCGAGCTGCGTGCGTCTTAGTGTCCCGAAATGTCAGGCTGTGTGTCTGGGAAGAGGTGACGCTGGCCGTGCAGAGAGAGGAGGGGACTGAGGTCAGGATGTCTGAAAGTGTCCTGATGTCTGCTGGTTGTAACTGGGGGCGTGTGGAGCTTTGAGCCACGTTTGGGGGCTTTAGAAGCTGCTTTTGGCAGAAGGCAGGAGGTGTTCGCTGCTGGCCTCTGCTCTGAGCATTGCTGCAACTAGATGTCATTGCCATACAGCTGCTCACCCACAGCAGTGTGTGACAAGTAAATGACAAACTGAAGGCTGTTCAGGAAACAACTACCAGCACACATCAAGAGCTGGAAAATCTGCCTTATTGTACGAGAGCGAAGGAGCTCTGACTGCTCGGTGTGGCAGCGTTCACCCCCCCGTGTTGGGGGACTGCCTTCGCTCTTGTCTCTGTACTCTAGCAAAGGCAAAGTGCTGAAGGGCATCAACACTAGTAAGGTTCCATCTGTACAGATTAGCCTTATTTCCCTTCCCCCCTTGGACACCCTTGAGATGCCTAGCATTGAGTGACCTTTCACTTCTAATAGGAGCAAACAGTCCCTCTCTTGTTCCCAGGAAACTCAGGGTCAAGTTTGTTGGCCGGTATTTCCTTCATCCCCTGGATAAGGGATATTTAGAGCGCTGCAGCATATGGGAATCCTTGTCTGGGCAGGCTGCCTGCTTGTGTTCTTTTCTGTGCTTCCCAGATCTTCTCCCACTGGCCTGAGAGCCTCCTGCAGATGGGGAGAGCTGGCCAGGATGGGTCTGTTGTGCACATCCTCGCTTGGAGCACAGAGTAGCTACCAGCAAATGGGTCTGTCCAGAGAGGTTAGATCTAGCTTGGTGCCGTGCAAAATCATCTCTGCACACAGGTCTTCTGGCCACCAGAGGCTTCCTGCCAGAGAGGGAGTTTGCTCTCCTCCTCTTGGCTGTAATAAGGTGAACAGAGCTCTGCCTCAGGTTTCAAACTGCCTGTGGAGATAATCCGTGTCCCTCCAGCTGTGCTGAACCTGCTACCAGGCATGATGATGGCTTTCCCTGACACGTGAATCTGGCTTTCTCTGCCCAAGGAGGCCGAGGCCATATGCCACCTACTCCATGGTGCTGGCCTTCTCAGCCAGCACTTTGGTGGGGAAGAGCTGAACTCCAGTCCTTGCCAGCCACCGCCATCCCTCTCCTCTGCTTTGCTTCACCTGGACAAGGTGTCCCTGCACGTTCACCCCAGCCCTCCACCCAGCTTCACTGGGTCTGTCATCACCCAGAGCACCTTCCCCAAAGCTCATCCCATGGAGATGGCGCATCCTGACAGATGCCTGCCATGTGCTGAGCCCCATGCAGGGCTTTGCTGTCTGTAGAGACTACACGTGGATGCACATCCAGAAAGTCTCCAGTTGCTGGTAAGAAACTCTCGTTCTGGCCTTCTGCAGGAGTTGCAAGGAGGGCTGTGTGCTGGGGGGAAGATGGGTGGGATGGCTAGAAGGATCCCTTGGCAATTACAAACATGTGGGTCGTTCCCTTTATCCAGCTTGTGGTGTTTTCATTTCTTCCAGCTCAGAGGCTACAGCTGTGACAGTATTTAGTGCAGGACTGCCCTGCCAGTTGATACTTAATACCATAATAATACTACATTTGTTTAGCCCATTGCACTTCAAACCTTAAGTTGTTTCTTTTGTCTCTGAGCATTTAATAGCTGTTGTTACTGAGCTGTCCAGTGACACACAGGGCTTTTTCCAGCGTGGTTGTAGATGATAGTGAATTGGGCGATAACACAGGAGTAGGTCAGATGATCCCTATGGCGTGTGTGAACTTCCATTTATCAACACTGAGTTTCCCTTGCAGCGAAACTGGTCTCTGTTAGCAGTGAATTCCCTCTGCAGCTCCCTACAGCCTCTCTCATCGACTAACCCAGATAATCCTCTGCTATCTGCCACATCTCAGTAGATCTATTAAACACACAAAAGTTCTGGTGTCCTTGTGCATAACCAGGGTAGGTTGCAAGATTTCAAATCCCCCAGTGCAGGATACTGTCAAAGTTTTATTGAAAGTCTAAATAAATAAACCACTCTTACTCATCCATTTCCCAGTGGTTCAAGAGGGCTTTTCTTTAGAGAGGAAGCATTGCTGTTCGTTTGATGGGCTCGTTCAGAGTGTTGGTGATACAGCCAACCAGGACTTGATGCAGCTGATGGCACCCTGGGGTAGGTGATTGGATGTGGGATCCCAGGAGCTTTGCGCAGTTGGGGTTGGGTCTGCTTACAGCTTCAGCAGAGGATGAGGACAGGTAGGATTTGCTTTGGGGGTTCGCAGTGACTTACTTTCACACTCAAGAAACCAAACCATCAACCCTGCTGTGTATCCGACCAGTGTTCCGCTGGGATGTGTGCAGGGGACTGCCAAGCTTAGTCTTAGCAGGGCCAGCAGAGCAGGTAGCACAGAGAGCACCTTACTGCTTATATTTCCCCTTCCTCGTGTGTCAGTACCTGTCCCCCCCTTCTCGTTTTTCCCTGCAAAAGACTCTACTGCTCCTGCATGCCTAATGCAAACACTGCAGAAGGATGATTCAGCACTTGGTGAGGAATTGAAAAGGTCTGAGAGATTATTTTGAGCATGTTGGAGTGGCTCTGGGAAGTGTTGGGGTGACCAGGGTCCCTGCCCTTCTCTGCCTGTCAGCCGTATCCTCCCGCGGGCCTGGGGCAGCCGGGCTGCTGCCTCCCTGCCTTCCCCCGCCAGAGCTCGGCAGCCCCGGGCAGGGACCTTGAGCTCCTCTTTCCCCTCCGGGAGCCCGCAGCTCACCTTGCCAAAGCGATCGAACACAATTTCCTTTTTCTGTGTCACAAGCCCATTCCTGGGGCTGTGCTCGTGCCTGGTGCTCACAGGATGAGGGTTGTTGGAACAATCACTTCCCCTGGGCTGGAGAGGGGATTGCTCAGACCTGTAATTTGACGGGGGACTAATTGGCGTTGGTTTCAATGTGAAAGGAGCTGGCCTGTCTGCTGCAATGGGAAGCAGAAAGAGTCTGAAAGCATCTGCGGTCAGGGGGGTGTGATACTCATCCGGGCTCCAGCAGGGCTGTAGGAGCTGCCCGACCCTCGGGACACTGGCTCAGACATGGACATCTCCAGTGCTCCCTGAGCTCCTCTGTGCTCCAGGATCCCACCACACCATGCTGTGGGCCTGCTGGATGGTGTTTCAGGGCGAAAAACACTGCTGGTGATTTGGAGACCCCAAAGAATCCTCAGGGCCTGGAGCCCAGCAGAAGCCATTTGGCTTGGAGTCCCTGTGACAAGGGCTGGGGTGGGGGGTCTCCCTTCCTGCACTGTGGGAGCCATCCC